TAATCAGCCACTCAGCATTTAGGCTTCTAAATTCCAGGTACGAGTGGGCATAGAGACCCGCATAAAAGTCTGCTTTCTGATCTCAAATACAAAGTTATATGGCCAGTTCCTAATTTAAAGAATAAAGGCCACATTATCATATTGTTGTGGATATTAAGACACCCTGAGCGTCATGAAATCTACATAAAAAAGGGAGTACAATAGAATAAAATATTGGTCTTCTGTGTTGGTTTTCCTTTGTTAAAATAGAAATCCCTAAAATATGTTTTGCTCAAGTAAGGTCAACTTACGATAAACAATATGTTAAGACAAACACCTACTTAAGAGGTGTACTTCAAGCTAATAGAACCAAGCAGTTTTAATATAGAGTGAGTAACTCATTATTGTTTTAACTGGATACTAATTGATCAAGTTCAAAACTGATAGGAATGCATTTTTCACAAACTAATGCATCTTCAATGGCCAAGGGTACCGCTGTAAGTTGTTACTGTGAAGCATTACTTCATTGTCCAGTCATATTTACCAGTTCTTCCAATCGCTGGCCAGTTGTCCCGAGGCTGAACAAGCTTCGTTCCTCGATGGAAAGTTCTATGTCGTCCTCTGTGCCGACTTAAAATTGAAGAGAGACACAAAAATAATATTAATATCATTTAAATCTCCTGTGTTCACAAGCATCTATGTACATTTTTGAGAAAATTGAGGTTATTAGTTTGCAAAAGAAATGAAAACTATTCTGTTTGAGGTGAGGGTTTTTCTCATGGTATATGAATACCAGATAAAACTATTTGACTCACTTAGTTTCTTGTTGGACTACCCTGGAACCAAATATCCTCCTCATTTCATTGTCAGGATTTAGATTCCTATTGACAAAAGAAAAAAGCACAATCAATGATAATTATATTCAGTCAATGAGGTTATATCACATCATATTATTTATATGTGTATATGTAGTGAGTGAGCGAGTGAGTGAGTGAGTTGTGTTAAACGCTGCTTTTAACAGTATTCCAGTTCTTTTACAGCGTGTCAGTTTAAATTGGGAGGAAAGCCTGAAGTGATGCAGGTCTCAGACGTTTACCACTTCGGTGAAACCCACAAGCACGGGTATGGTGCTGACAAACCTAGAAACATAATCGGGGCGAACCAGGATTTGAAACCACAATCATAGGTTTCTGGTGTGCCCAAGGGACGCAACTCTGCACAGTGAATGCGGCGCCTTGGACATATAGAAGTATACTTCCAAGGGAGTTGAGAATGATAACTTGAATGCATACGGATCTACTGGACAGGGAACAAACTATATATTTATCATCCAAAACTCTAGGAGATATCTCTGTAACAAGTCCCATGAAAATCCGGATTAGAATTAATCTTCAGCAACCCATGCTTGTCATAAGAGGCGACTAACAGGATTGGATGGTCAGGCTCGGTGACTGGCTCATGCATGTCATCATATTCCAATTGCGTAGATCGATGCTAATGATGCCAATCACTGGATTGCTGGTACAATTATATGAGTTACAGACCATCATGAGCATCAATCAACATAATTGGGATACAATGACATGCGATCAACCAAGTCACTGAGCCTTACCACCCGATCCATTTAGTCGTCTCTTACAACAAGCATAGGTTGCTGGGGACCTACAAGCTTACCCAGAATCCGCACGGGTAACCATGTAAATTAGTGCACATGCTTTATCTGACAACTGAAATATTTTGTGCATTGGGTTAGTGATATTCAAACTTTGCCAGCAGTTTCTTTGTGTACAAGACATATTGGCTAGTATCTTATTTCTAGAAATGCCAAACATACTTTTCTTCTTAATTAAAACTGAAAAGTTTGTTGTTAAACGCCTCACTCAGCAATATTCCAGCGTTATGACAGCGGTCTGTAAATAATCATATCTGGGCCAGACAATCCAATGATTGATGTCATGAGCAACTAATCACACCATTGGGACACAATGACATGCATCAACAAGTCAGCGATCTTGACACCCGGATCCCATTAGTTGCCTCTTACGACAAGCATAGTCGCCTCTTACAACAAGTATGGGTTGCTGAGGACCTATTCTAACCCAAATCTTCACAGGGCATTTTCTTTTCTAGAATGTGAAGCCCTGAGTGAGTGAATGTCATTTGATATCTCAGTACCGGCATTCAACCAATAACACAACAGTCTGAACACAATCAAGTCTGGGCCTGGCAAACCAGTGACTGATAGCATCAGCAACAATCCATCTGTCTGAAAATGATTTCATCAGCCAGATTACACATTGGCACCACCCTGTCATTGCTCTGATCGGCCATCTTGACAAACATGGGATGCGATGGGCCTATTCCGCCCTGGAATCCACACGTTGTCCCACATGTCCTAAATGTCTCTTTACCTGTGTTCCACATTCAGCAGTGCCCGCATGTCGCTGGTTATTGTGTCTACCACCATGCCACCCCCTGCTGTCTGGTCCGTTATACCCAGGATACGATTCACCTCTCGTATACCTGCATCAATCTCATCTTCACCCTGCAGTCAAACGGTGAAACATCAGAGAAAGAAAACAACATCTAACCAGTCTAAGACATTCGCCACTAGCCCAAAGCCCAAGTCTAGTAAAAATGTGTTTCGTCAAACTTGCTGAGCTAATAATAGTATATACAATAACAGAAAATTCTACCTCAAATGATGCTAAGAATCTTGTTATTTTGGACAAGTACCGTAGCTTATGTAACATAACTAGATTTGGGGAGAAGACAACTAGTCCCTCTAAACCATCACTAGTCTCAGACTTACGGACTAGTGGTCATGTCTATCACCTCAAAATGTACTGTGATAGTCTTTCCAATACACTAAACAGTCTCTACTGATCAATTAACAAAGAAATCAGGTGATATTTTTATTTGAAATTAAACATGAAAGTCAAGTGCCCTTGTCAAACCCCTATGTTAAATGTTAAAGATTCAGGGGGTCCCTTGATTCAAATAGTGCAGGAGATAACCTCAGTTCTGAAAGATAAGTCAGACACTTTCTTTGGTTAATTTCCATCTGTCAAAATGCATCAATCACATCAGTTGACAAAAACATTGGGTCAAAACTTTACCTGAGTTGTGTATGGTTGTGATAAATTTTGGCGATCTACCCCTCCTTTGCTGTGTCATTTTGTCATGATTGGTTGGTTAGTTGGTTGTTTAACACCGCACTCAGCAGTATTCCAGCTATATGATGGCGGTCTGTAAATAATCGAGACCGGACCAGATAATCCAGTGATTGATATCATGAGCATCGATCCATGCTATTGGAATCAATGACATGCATCAACCAAGTCAGCGAGCCTGACCACCTGATCCCGTTAGTCACCTCTTACGACAAGCATAGTTGCCTTTTACGGCAAGCATGGGTTGCTGATGACCTATTCTACCCCGGATCTTCACCGGTCATTTTTTTATGACGCCTTTTTCATGATGCCCCCTTAATCTCAACACCCCGCTTTCATAAATGACCTTAATGGCATGCTGCAGCAAACTCTAATGGAGGGGGCACTTCCAACTAATAATTGAAAGAACCTTACATCTCCAGTCTGTACAGCTGTGTTGTTATCATTTTCTTTTCCCTTTTTCTTTTTTTTCTTTTTCTTCTTTTTTGTGACAGCTTTTGGGGAATTTTCCTCGCCCTCTTCCACAGGATTTTCATTTTTCTGTTTATCCTCATTCTCTTTATCTTGTTTCACATCGACTTCGTCATTAGCCTCTGCTGGTTTAACAGGTGCAACTATGATCGGCTCAGACTCCTCTACATCCTCATTCAGCTGAAATTGAAAGTCAAAAATAGTCATTTTTGACATGGAGATAGATTCTCACAAACTGTGCTACTTGTATTTCAATTTCCAACAACATATATTCATACACTATCAATTTTGGGTCTGTTTTATTTTCATTTAGGACAATAGCAGGGTTAGAAATTGGCACTAGTCCTATAGTCCTTGCCAAACTGCCCAATAGTAAAGGTATCCTAAGGACTAGTAGAAATTTGGCATTTTTAAAGGTTTTGCTATGTGTTATTATAAGGACTAGTGGACGGAAACTGTTAGTTTCTACCGCTGAATGGTGTTATTTTGTTGTTGTCTTGTTTAATGCCTGAAACAGACAATCCAGTGATTGATAACAATTGAGCAACAATCCATGACATCGCAGTATAATGACATCAGCGTACGTTGGGATACGCAATCAACAAAGTTACCAAGTCTGACCACCCGATCAATTTGGTTGCCTCTTACAGACCAGCATAGTATGTTGGGGACCTTTTCTAACCTTGAATCTCCATGGCATTAATGACAATGTGAAATTGCAAGGTATATAAATGGATTCAACAACGGTATATATTTTCCGCCATATTACTCTGAGCTGCTTGTGAGAGCAATACAGTTTTATAGCAGTTATTTTTTGTCCTTTACAGAACGGAAATACTAAATACTTTCCTTGTACAATATTTGGAAACGAACATGGATATCATCAACGATATATATGATGTGAGTTGTTTACGCATGTTCAACCTATGACCAAAGACATACCAGTTCAAAGGGGTTAAAGGCAGGTTTCCTTCGTTTATGTTTCTTTTTGCTTTTCACTTCTTGAAATTCAGCTTCATCGGCGGAATCAGAGTCGACTATGAGTTCGACTGGGACGGCACTGAGTATATCGCCGTCGCCCTGAAGTCTCCTTAAAGCTCTGCTTGACATGATACAACGAAACAATTAACTTTTAACCACAGGTTTTCGAAAGCATAAGTTTCCACGACGAAAGCTGTCTGCTTTCACAACCGGAAGTGAAGATACATTAACTCCGGTACTAGAGTCTATATTGCGAGAAACAAATTCTCCGCTGTAAAACAAATTCAAGATAGAGCCCAACTAGTTTTTAAATATTTCATGCACGTTTTGAAAAACGTGGAACGGATCTATCGAGTTTATCAAACAAGAGGTTTGTTGAAATTTTGTGCAGAATTACAATATGGCTGCCTCCACGAATTTCACATGATTATTGGAATAACTACATCTGACATAATATGATTCGTCTCGCGAGCCGAATGTTATTTGGGAATAATTGTAACACAGTATGTGTGCTACAGAGAAGAGAAGCAAGTAAAATCAAAATGGTCAAACAACTCAAGAAGTTAGTTGATAGAAGTCCAAAGTAAGTTAGATCTAATTGATGAACCTAGAATTTAGAAGAGAAAAAATGACTTAAATTAAAAATGGGCCTGTTTAAGTATGCATTGCTAAATATGTGGAAAATCCAGTTGATAGATATCAGTGTACATAGTGCACACTGACATTGAATTTGAACATGTTGAAAGCTATGCGTCATCCTGTGCTTCTTTGACTTGTTGACTTGCAAACAACACAAATTTGGATTTCTAGGTCAGAACAAGTTTCAAGGACCTCAATGCTTGTGGTATAAGCTGACTAAAATGGGGATCGTGTGGACAGGCTTTATCACTGGTACAAAATCGTAGCTGTATGTACATGTACTGCACCACTTTTACGCTCTGATATCTATGGATACTCACAGCTGCAATTAATTCATCAGTTATTTTCGTCGCTATATGGCAGAAATAACGTCGATGCGACGTTAAATTTTAACTCACTCACTCACTCTAATAAAGTCCACTGCTGATTTTACAGGGACCTTTACAAGCAGTCAGATTACAATATTCAAGCATATTGTGGAATTGTTAATACCCCTAGTTGCAAAGCCATCTTTAAAATACACCAATTATCCCAAGTGAAAATATAAGTAGTAATGCAATAGTTATGAACCTGTAAATACCAAAGAGTCAAGTTTAATGATTTGGACACTCTTAATATTTTAAGAAACAGCCAGTAAACACATTTGATGTGTTCTTGATGTGTCTGTCTGTGTGTGTCTATTGATTCCAATGCGATAATCTTGTTTTAATCCCTTATGCCAACATTTTCCTGAGGCAAGGGAGTTAACCATGTTAACTGATTATAAAAGTCGAGTTTCGAGTTAACTCCCTTGTCTCAGGAAGATGTAATGCCAAGTGCCAGTCAGGGTTCCATTATCAGAACACTCATTGGCGAACTCTATATTTTCCAAAGGATGTACCATCTGATCTCAATACCTCGGAAATTGAAGTTGCCTGTGAATGTTTTGTGTACTGATTTTGATTAATGTTCTTTCTTTTTGCAGAAAGAAGTGGCACAAAAATCCAGCGGTATGTTGACATTTGACATTTACCTTCGAAATAACATGAATATGTTTGCATTGAGAGAAATATGACAGGGATCGACTCAACAGTATTTCTGTCACATTAGTCTAAATGAAAAAGGGGTCACAGATGGCCCAGTGTTATACATGGTATAAGGGCCGCCATCATTCAGCTTGAATATTGCTGACCGTGGCATAAAACAACTGAAAAACAACATAGAAGGCCTTGTGTCAAAGCCCAACCCTGCCTGGATCCCTAGTATCGAGTTGCATACACTATCTCTTACTATATGCCACTAATCCTGTGTGTAACATAGCCATCTGACTGCTAGACCGTGGATAGCAAAAATATGGTTGGGCTAAAGGAAATGGCTGTGGAAATTATAATAGGGATCTTTTTATGCACACCTCATAGATGATTTAAATTTTTGAAAATTCTCCTATTCCTGTAGATCGATACAACTATCAATAATCAAAATTAATCAAATTAATATCCAGAGCAAATTGTTGCAAGATTAGAGTTATCCTCCTTTATTTTGTTTGTCACTGTAACAGTATGCATAACAAACATGTTTTGATTGGTTGTAATTTGTAGTTTAACCAATCACAAGCTGTGTTACATAACAAACTTTGACTACCCATGTCAAACAAGTCACATTTGTAAACTTGTGAAAATTGAAACTGGCTAGTAACATTTAATGCCAGCTAGCCCACCTGGGCTCAAAAGATTTTGAGACTATTTCACACAATGCACACATCACATACTCATGGGTTCGAACCCTGATGCACACTCTTCATGATCTTTGGTCTGTTGGCACCAAGCCAGCGCTCACTGGTTGCACATGGTTCACATCGAAGATCTGCATCACTTTTGTTTTCTGTCACATTTACAGTACCGATATGCTTTCAAGGTTATGTTATGTGGTTAAATGTAACTTGCTGTTATGACTATGTTATGAAATGGTGTTCCAATCTTAGTATCACAAATAGCATTGTGAAAGCATGCTCAGAGTTATTAGTCACTAGTCGCCCCTTTCCGTAACCTGCAAGAAGACTGTTCCTCTTATCGGTGAATGTTATGTGTGAAAATACCACAAACCAATCAGAATGTGCATACGACTTCAAGTACTTCGGTCAAAGAATGCCTCAGGAATAATTATTGATTTTACATGTCTTGCATTTAAAAATATACCCAAGATACAGTTCAATGTGTCAATCATACTAAATAATACTATAAGTTTGGATGTGGATTCAATAGTGTCCGAAATATGTATGATATATGGGGAAAATATACGTGAATCATTATGCAACGAGTTGACAGTTCTTTTAGCAATGCCCATTTGCGCGAGATGGGCATGAGTCATTCTTCGGCTTGTCCCGGAATAACACGAGTTGGTCCCGAATGGCTGGGAGAAGCTGCCCCTTTGTTCAGGCTCCTCCAGAACTGCTTGATGCATGGAGCAAAAACTTGTACAATTTGGTGTGTGAACTTGCCTTTATGTCAGGCCAGACTTTTAGTTGGCTTAATGGTCAGTACGTGGGAAAAAATATATGTATATATTTCAGACATTTGTTTAGTTCTTCAAAAAGTGACATGTATTTGAATATGTTGCAATATGTGCAGTGCTCGTCACTTTGTTTCTCAAATTGTCTTGCAGTTTTCATGGTTTAATGCATTTTTTGCAGTTTTTATTTTGTGGTGAAGTCTGAGGTTTGCATTAGGTGGGAAAAAAAAGAAATATTGGATTTTTTCTCTCATTTTTTTAGGATGTGCTGAACGTCTAAACCAATAACATAACATCTCCTCCCTTACTCTTCAAAAATTCCTTATTTCTCCAAGATGACGACATCAACGACTACAAGTAGGGGTGTGAGTGATGGACAGCGTAGACGTGCAGAACAGGTGAGCACAGTGCTATACAACTACATCACAAGCATCATAGACTCTGGAGAGCTCTCACCAACACTAGCTGACATGGCAGTCGACATCAACCGGGTATGTGACACAATCGTCTTTCTCCAACTTGTCAGTTCTGATTCCCCTAGGGGGTTCCAGGTTAGAATAGGTCCTCAGCAACTGTTGGTCCTACAAGGCGACCATGTCATCAGACTTGGTGACTTGCTTGATTAAATGTCATCATAACCCAACAGAGTGTGATGTTGCTCATGATATTAATCACTGGTTTGATTGGTCCAGGCCTGATTAGTTACAGGTTCTTCATCATATAGCTGGAATATTGCCAACTGTGGCCTTGCATTTTTTTCCGTTGTTGGTCCCTAGCGCAGATTGGCGTTCTTCATCGTTATGTGGAGCCAAATATTTTGGTTTTTCCAGTCCTGTCTAGGTGTTTGAGAACTTGGTAGGTACACAACTCTTAAATTGAATCTTCAAGTGAAATCTGCTTTTTATGTAGGTTTTGTTTTTGTTTGTTTAACGCCGCACTCAGCAATATTCCAGCTTTATGACGGCGGTCTGTAAATAATCGAGTCTGGACCAGACACTCCAGTCATTGATATCATGAGCATCGATCCACGCAATCAACAAAGTCAGCAAGCCTAACCACCCAATCCCGTTAGTCGCCTCATAGGGCATGCATGGGTTGCTGAAGACCTATTCTACCCTGGATCTTCCGGTAATAGCATCGGTCATGTAATACTATTTTGTATGCAGGTGAAGGTGACCCCAGACTTCAGTGCAGTGAACATCTACTGGCTGAGTCATGGCTTGGAGAAAGATGATGAACTTGAAATTGAGCTGAAGAAACATGAAGCTAAACTCAGGTAACAGTTCACCATGCTCTGGCAAGGACAAATACAAGCTGGGGCAGGGGTATAAAGGCGCCAGTAATCTATGGGTCACCACTCATACTCATTCCCTGCTATGTGAACAGTCACTTGCCCAGGGTGACACCACAAGTTTGGACCTTATGTTTTTGGGGTCTGTACGTATTCATGTAGCCACCATCTGGTCATCTACCAACAGACGAGGGGGTCTTTTGAGTGCACAGGGTGAATGTACTGTACACTAGGTGTAGTGACAACACTGTAAAGAAACGGAAACGTTGGTCCCAAGGTTGAATAACAACCTGATCACTAGTGGGATCTCGGCACCTGGCTCTCACCGCTTGCCCACTCGGGAGATAGAGAAATGGAGCTGGTGATGCCACTTTGAGAACCAATCGTGGCTAATGGGCCCAGGGTATACTGCAAATCTTGAAATCAATGTGAGCAAGAAATTAACACAAGGACCCTTGCTCACAATTTTATCTGGACATATTGAAGTATATTGTCTTATCAGGTTCAATGCACATGGCCGGAAACAATGACATATATTAGAAACAACTCCCATTATAAACAATGTAATTGAGGTCTGTACAATCTTTGTTGGTGACCCGACCTTTCTCCTTTTAATTTGCGCTATTGGAATCTCCTGCTTATATTTCGTATCAACCAGGTGAAGTGAAGTTTGTGAACATAACAAATGATATCATTCAATCGAACTGCTATTTCCAAATACTATAACATGAAATTTCAAATTTTTATAGTTCAAAGGCACGGCTACGAGTACACATTTAGTTTATGATGTATTTTAGGCCAGGTTTTGACACTCAGAATAATTTGGTGACACATTAGTTTCATGATTTAAAGTATATCATAATAGAATGGAGATAGATGCACTGGACAAACAAGGATCGGTGCATGGCTATGGGTGTTGATGTGAGTGGTATTCATATTTTTGTCTTTGTTTCACACAGGTCTATACTTATATCCTACCGTATTGTCGGAACTATTCCCCAAGTTACGTTTGTACAAGACAAGACGGCAGGTCGGTATGCAGAAGTCGAGAAATTACTGAGAATAGCCGATTTTGGCCCTGATTTCATACCTGGTCCCCTGGGAAGCAGTATTCGAACCCTGCCCCAGGCAGAGACTACACCCTCAGATGCAGACATATCTGAGCAGCTTCAGAAGCTTTCTCTGGACTTTGTGGATACCAAACATGGCAGACATATTATTGCTGTGGATGAGAAGACTGATCTTGTTCCTGAGGATGTCAGCAAGATGATGGAAGATGAAAAGGATCCTGTGCCTGATTTAAATTTCCGAAGTGATTTGTATGGACTAAACCATGAGGAAATAATGAACAGACTGCTTCTTAAAAAACACAAGACAAAGCATCGAAGTTCGGAAAGGACACTTGGAATTGAATCAAAAAGTGAAGGCACTGTCAAACCAGTGCAAGCACCTGACTATGAAAAGTTTTTGAGAACAAAGAATATGTTGAAGAAAAAAGCCAAAATAACAAAAATTGATTACACGGTTCCTGATTATTATCGTTATGAAGCGTTTCATGATTTTGGTGACAATACAGAAAGAGGTGGTACAAGAGATGATGATTCTGATGATGATTTAACTGACTCTGATGATGATACCACTGATAGATAAAACGAGTGCTCATGTTTTCAGATTTTTCTGCGGTTTTATATATAAAGTAGATTATTAATTTGGAAATTAATTGCTTACAATATTGTGAAATATCAAACACGAGAATGTTCATATTGTTGTGTGTATCAAATCAGATAATATGAGAATACAATCAAAATAATGAATAAAACAATTCTGAAAATAATGATATAAAACCTTATGTTGACTACTCTATACATGAACCAGAAATACATGGACATACTTCAGACACATGTACCCGGTACAGAGAATCTGTATGGTAATTAGGGGTTATTCTGAAATATTTAAACTACTTTGGCTATAACAGCTATTAAAATATCTCAATCAAAGGCTAAAGAAAATAATAGTCTTGGTTCTCAGGCACCGCCCGCATCATCATAAAGTTAGCCGCACGTTTCATTTTTATTTCCATTAAAAAAAATCCCAATAAAATCCTTAAATTTTCCAAGTCCAACGGTAGTCAAATACTGTATTTCAGTATTTTACTCATCAAAGAATACATTTATGTAGGGAGGTCCTTTCCCAGGTTGATTGTATTTGGTTACACAACTTTTTATTTGCTTATATACTAGTTTGAACTAAGAAAAAAAAAAAACACTATATTTTCTAAAGCCATTGCCTGAGAACCAATTATTATATTTTTTAAGCCCAAACAAACATTTTTTGTACTATCACATGCCTGTATTCTATTAGGGCAAGTCAGGACCACTCTGTCTAAGGCACCACAATTTGCTGTGTAAAAGTGTCATTTTGGAGTGCCAGAATGTTATGATCATGGTTTCGAATCCTAGACTTGCTTTGATTATCTTGATTTGTAAACCCCATACGTGTGCTCGTGCTCGTGGGTTTCACCAGCATTTCAGCATTATCATCCAACATTAAGTGGACATGCTGTGATATAATTAAACTTGCTCATGCACTCTCAGTGACTTACTTAGCCACACCATGCCCTTTAGAAACACTTACATTACAAAAGCAACTACCGGTACTATCTTCTAACACTTAAGCATGTCTTGACCGTGTGCAGAGCTGGATGTGGCTCAGTGTTCTATAGCGGCCGTAGGATTGCCATGTCAGGTTATCATGACAATGGGTTCCATTTCTAAATTTTTATTCTTGATTTATTAGCACCAACCCATGCTTGTGGGTTTCACTGAAGTGTATTGGCCTTTCCTCCCACATTTAGTTGGAACATCAAGTCAGGCTCAGGTCACCCTGTGTTGACAGCATGAACAACACCCCACATCTCTGGGACATACGACGCACAATATATACATATAATTACTCTTGACAAGGTCAATATGCAGAAACAAAGACCAGAGGAACCGACCCCTGAGGTGGTCAGACCGAAGACGAGTCAATATTCATCACGTGACAGGTCAGTGTCAGTCACATGATTTGAGGGTCTACATTGAAATGTATTGTTTGGTCACATGGTACGTTGCTCTATTCTTAATAGAGATATAACAATACCTATGGTTATACCTCTGTTAGGACTGTTGCAATTCCATTGGTTAATCCAGTCAGTCCACCTCAGAGGTCGGGTCCTGTCCTCGGGGTCGTGTTTTCGCATATTGACCTCGTCAAGAGTAGTTATTTGTATGTCACATAGTAACCACCAAATCTTAAAGAGGTGGCTCCTACAACAAGCATAGGATGCTAGGAACCAGCTCTGCGTCTGAATCTCACCAGGGGACAGTCACAGTGTCTGGATAAGGGGTCCTCACAGATGGTCACTGACCCCAGCATCATCCACCTTACATGTACATACGTATGAACACACATACAAACTGACCAGTCATCGGTCACAAGTCTAAATCCTGGCCAACACTGACCTATCAGCAAGGGAACGCAGACAAACTGTCACTGATACTGATCATATATATATGTTTATTGGTGTTGCACATTAGTAACAACTTAAAAAGTACTGCTGTTTCATAAATATCTTTCATGTTGTGAGTGTAAGGAGTTACACTGAAAAGAGGAAAGTTGCCATACACATACAGTGTTGGAAATGAACAGGAATCTCACGGTCCTTGAGGTTGTCCATTTAGTATTTGAATGTAGGGACCCCAGACATCTTGAACTTTTACCATTGGGGCTATGACAATGACCTTGATTTATATGCTTCATTTCAAACAATGCATATATCATGTGTATACATAAAAATTAACATAACTGGTAACAACATACACAAACAGAGTTTTATCACATATGTACTTGCTACATTGAACAGAACATTTTGAATTCAACATAAATGTATTAATTAATGTATTTTAATACATTTGGCAACAATCTTAAGTGAGAATGGTTTTACGCCGCTTTCAGCAACATTCCATCAGTATCACAGCCGGAGACACCAGAAATGTGCTTCACACACTACCCATGTGGGGAATCGAACCCGGGTCTTCGGTGTGACGAGCAAAAAGCTTTAGCCACTAGGCTACCCCACCGCCCCTTAACAATCCATAGACCATTGTTTTGTTCTGCCAAAAGCATTCTGCAAACTGACAATCACAACAGCCTGTAAAATAAGGAGATGGTGAGAACACCTGTAAAACTGGCCAAACTCAGAAACTTTGTGCCCCCAAAATCAACATTGCAACAAGGATAAGTTACTGTATAATACACACTTAAGTACAACACCCATTCTAGGGAGCCACAATATAACTGGAATACTGTTAAAAGCGGCATTAAACCCAACTCACTCACACACCCATTCTAGGGTACAGGTCTCTTTAAAATGTGTGTTTGTTTGGTCATTTGTTGTTGAACATGTTTAACACCTCATTCAGCAATATTCAATATATATGACAGCGGTCTGTAAATAATCGAGTCTGGATCAGACAATCCAGTGATTGACATCATGAGTATCTATTCACGCAACATGGATACGATGACATGCATCAACCAAATCAGCAATTAGAACCACCCAAACTTGATAGTCGCCTCCTACAACAAGCATTGTTGCCTTTTATGGCAAGCATGGGTTGCTGAAGACCTATTCTAAAAGGATCTTCACGTGTCTTAAAAAGTGTGAATTGTATGCAAGGAAACAAAGTAATGAGAACCTCTCCTTTTCCTAAATGAGTGGATGTACGTGACAACATTGACCACAACACCAATTCATTGAATTGACTGAGCAGGGTTTACACTTTTCTGACTTGTAGCAAAACTTCAGTAATATTGCCCAGCATTACCAAGGAGCTTCACACACTGTCATCATGTGAGGAATAACACTGGGTCTTTGGTATGGTGAGCTAACACCTTGACCCCTTGGAATACTTAATCTGCCAGTTTTAAATTGTAAAAGTCCAACTGCCAGAGGTCCATACACGCTATTAACGAATCAATGAAGAAATATTTACAGAAATAAATACATAATAAATTTATTGCATACTTGGCACCTATATTGTTATGACATTATTTACAATGTAATATCCCTATATGATTATATATTGCCAATGCGATCTTAAATTACAAGTCACTACAATGAGATGACCTCCCTACATAATGAAAGCACAAATTAAGGTTGGGATTATATGTATCTGATTATCTCCATTTCTGTAGCCAACTCTAATTTTATATTTATTCAACAGCCATAAGACCTTTATGTAATTGTAAAATTACATATTTATAGTACTTTTCCTATCTCACACTATGCATTTCTTTCATCTTTAGGTTCTTTCCAGCTTCTAAAACAAATTCACCTGAACACATCCCATGGTCACCACCCAAACAATAGGGCCAGGCACAAGCTCAAATCATACTCTTTCTTAGAGCAAATAGGCTAGAGGATCTGTGATGCAGGGATGATTGGGAGGGCCTGTGAGATGGGCTAAGTTTTGTAAATCTACAATTTGATGTAAAATATAAATATTTTAAAACTTAAACTATCTCCCACTATGCATTTGTCCCATGGTTGGATGGTGGGGTGCAGACACCCTAGCCTAAGGCTACAACCGTGAGACGTACACAAGCATGAGCATGAGTGCGATGTCAATGTTAAAAAATCAATACAAATGCCAAACATACTTTTCTTCTTGATTAAAACTTAAAAGTTTGTTCCTTTGTTGCACTCAGCAATATTCCAGCTATATGACAAAGTCTGTAAATAATCGAGTCTGAACCAGACAATCCAGTGATATACATCATGAGCATCGATCCACGCAATTGGGATAGATGATATGCATCAACCCAGTCAGCGAGCCTGACCACTCAATCCTGTTAGTTGCCTCTTACGACAAGCATAGTCACCTTTTACGGCAAGCATGGGTTGCTGAAGACCTATTCTACCCCAGATCTTCACGGGTCAAAACTGAAAAGTATTGTCAGAAGAGAGAAAGAGAAAGTTACTATTTGAAGGGAATGAAACCTTAAAAACACTGACTTCTCTTCCTGTAATGATCCACTTTGTAGGATATTAACTCACTGTGGGAAAACGGAAATCATTGAATCATAATTTCAAATTTACAGATCAAGAAATCAAACAGTGAGAGGGTACGGTGTCGGTTTAATGCTGCTTTCAGCAATATTTCACAAATATCATGGAGGGGACACCAGAAATGGGCTTCACATATTGTATCCATGTGGGGAATCAAACCTGCAGCCTGGGCCTTCAGCATGTCGATTGAATGCTATAACTAGGCTACCACATCTCCCCCATATATCAAGTAGATAGAAAATAATTTTCTAACATAGAAAAAGCATAGGACACTTGATACCCTATCAGTTTGACTTCCAAGTCATGGGTGCCGGATACAGTAAAGTGAAAGCAGTTTAGCGCACAACTTCACATGTTTATTTTGCAAGTCTTCTTCAAAGGAAGATGTCCTCGTGGTAACTTATTTCAGCTCCAGCTTATTGCCTGATCGAGATATGGGGATTATCTCCTGTCTCAGCTCCAAAGGAAGATATTTTTCCACCAGACAATACAGGGACTCCTTTGGGGTGACAAACTTCTGCCTGCAAAAAATAACAGAGGCTCGTTGATATTACTATATTACAAAGCTTCACATATGGACACAAATACAGGTTTTAATATAAATAATAAGACTTCATCACTGTGCAGGGTGATATGGAAATTGTGAAAATACCTAACTCTTTAGTAAGGGAGGATGTGATTGAGTCATATCATAGCACAGTGACGATAAAAGTTCATTGAAGAACGTCAACCTATCTCATGACTAGCAGTATTTGGAGCACCTTTAGGATACAGTACCACAACCTCTCGTGAGGACGGTCTCTGCCGTAGGTCACATGTCTCAAAGACAAGCAACCAGTTTTTGTGAGAATCCGTCTGACGCGACCTTCAGATTGTTAGCCAGACAGCTAACAGACTGAGCTACGTCCACACTGTGAAACAAAGTGAAAATTTACCTAGTCATGCCTACGACGTTACGGAACTGAACGAAAAAGGTCGAATAGGTGACGGACCCTTATGAAGGTTACGGGTAGGCATGGTGTCTCGTGACTTTAGACTATCGACACTTACGAATGATCCCGATGCCATTTGGCACACTCATCCCATTCCGTAATCTACAAGATACCGAGTGGCGAGGAATGATCTGATATGGCGCGAACTGAAAACGGCTCGAGGCGTCAGACGTCAGACGTCGAACTCGCGAGTACTCATGAATGACGTGTTATTTAATAATTCGTTGGGTGGATTTTGTGACAGAAAAGGGTGGTAGGGAACACTGTAACGATGATGTGGATAATATTAAGGAACAAGGGAGGCATGTGCATGGCTAGTGACGACACAACGGTGAGTTCGCTTTTGAATCAGTACTGAAAAAATGTAGCCGGTGAAAGTGGCTTGTGTGAATGTTCCAGGACAGTTTCCAGTAGCCAAAGTATTCGACACAAAACCATTTAATTCTTTTTACTCGATGTTTTTGTGTGAAGAATATTGGGAGCCGCTATAGAATCTATAATAGAAACTAAACGGGTAGATTTACCGAACCCTAATGATCGTGAAGGGATGATTAATCGTAAAGGGGATCCAAGGGCTAAGGACAGAGTTCGGGTAATCTAATAGCCACTAAACGGGTACCTAACTCTATTGATCATAAAGGGATGATTGATCGTAAAGGGATGATTGATCGTAAAGGGGATCCAAGGGCTAAGGATGTGTTCAGCGCCAATATAATATCCCTAATAAACTGCATTCTTGTGCATAATAATGGAAATTAATGCACCGAAAAAAAAATATATGTATATTAGTTCCCATTTATAACCCTTTTAGCCACTTGAATTACGGGAAAAACGAAATAAATATATAAAAAATAAAAGTGATTTCGTAAACTAGCGCTTGCTATAAAATGCGCCACCGCAGGCTATATTCAGTAAACAAATATTCAAAACTCTCCACAGCGCTTGGCGTATTCAATGACATTTTGTGTAGAGATGATAGATCACTGGGAGGAGCTTATGCACACTCGATGACCCCTGACGTCACAGGGCATTGTTTCGCCGGTGTGACTGGAAAAAGAATACTACAAATTATGTCATAGGGTATTGTCACGTGTTTGAAAAGTTTGTGGTACTGTATTCTAAAGGTAGGCCCAGTATTTACCAACAGATCAAACTCCAATCTCATTAAAATCAGACCTCAAACAAAGATCTGAGGACATCCCATTAGGGGTCACGTCAGAACAACCTTTCATCCGACCAATCAGAGCATCGCTTACCAGATTATGAAAGTGACAGGCGGAATGTGATTTCTAATCATGCAACCTCGAAAACTCTAACCCTGAACGATAGTTACGAGTTTAACGACTGAATCCATACAATCTAGACCATCTGTTAGCCATTCCAGAATGTTCTTTTGTTCAGGTTTCAAATTTGTAATCAAGAATTTGCCAAAATATGTTTCGAACCGTGGTTGCCAATTTGAAATTAGTGCCGTAAAGCATGAGAAAGCGGCCTTCTGATTGGTCATTCCATTGGTTGGTCAATGTTCGCGCAAGGTTGGTCTGATGGACCCGTAATGGGATGTCCTCAGATCTTTGTTTAGCTGTAGCGAGAACTGAGATCTGATTTTAATGAGATTGATCAAACTCTTGACCAATTTACCATTTTCTACACACAAAAAAGAAATATTGTTTTAACTTGGCATTTTAAATTAATGAACTAAAAAAATTCAATATCTCCTGTTTCAGCTGTACTTTTATAAAATGAGCATCCTAGATATGGTACTATTACATTCAACAAATGAGGAAAAAGGAAAACGAATAATGAAATCGGCTTCACAGACTTACAGTGAGTGAATGAGTTTGGAGATAAACACACTGTGTTTTCAATGTAAAGCTAGGTTACCTGTAGATTTAACCCTGCTAAATTGAATTTGGACCCGAAAGTGCAACGTGAGGTTTAAAATGTGAAAATTAGCGTTTTATCTCCATTCTACCAGGATAAAATAAAATGTGAACTCTTTGGTGTTAGCAAGTATTTTCCAAATTTATGGTAGTAATTGGGAGTAACCCCACTTTTGTATAGTATTCTAGTTGTATCATGGAGTGCCAGCTTGACATGGGAGGAAAGCCTGAAGTTATGCAGGTCTTAGACGTTTACCACTTTGGTGAAACTACACATGCAATTACCCTCTATCAGAAGCACAGTGAGGTATTCCAGGCGAGGTAGGGAGGAGGGAATTTGTCTTCCAACGTGTATCAGGATAGGAAATAATTTGATATCTTATTGCAAGGTTGTGCACCCTTATAATTTCAAGATGGTCTCAAGAATGAACTTAGTTATCAAACTAATACACTGATAATGATATTGAAAAATTAACAAACTGAAACTACCTCTTCATCAGCAGTTCTACATCAGCTTCTTCAATAGTCTTGCGGTGTGCATGAAGAGCATAGGACTCCAAGTCTTTGGCTGCATTTTCCCAAAACTGAGCAGATCTGTTGAATAATCAATTTTTTCAACATTTGACTTTTTATTACATGCGATCATGGTAATCATAATGTCTATCTACCTATTGTACACGACAAAATTTAGCGATTGCAAAAAACACCACAAACTCACAAAATCTACTATGAATTGACAACAGACTTCAAGGATTATAATGAGGGTGTTGAGTGTTAGCATTTCAATTATTGATATCACAATATGCAAGCACCATGTTGAAGGAAAGCTTAAGTGACGCAGGTCTTAGACATCTACCCCTCAGATGAAAAACACAAGTACAGAGTGAAAATCTCCCAATAACTGGGATTATGTCATCAGATTGGGAATCCTCTAATGCCACAAACATCTCATATCGAGACCAAGATAAGCTAAAGACATAACTCACTATTTAGCCCTCACATCAATGTCCTTCTTACACAAATTAGATTCTGGCACAAACAAACATTTGTAACAATGAAACACTACCGGCATTCTTGCAATGGCAACATAATTTATTTTAGAAAGTGTATTGTCTTGGATCGACACAAAAAATGTATAGTGTATCGTATCATCAAATGAAAACTTACGATTCATTCATCATTTCACCCCTAAGAAATTTTACTTTTTCCTGAATTACACATGTTATTGAGTATACACTGGAAATTTCATTTGAAACACGGTTTCAAATCCCCAACATTTGTTCAACCAATCACATTGTGGCAAACACTCCCCCAATAAAATGTATTTCAATCATAAATACACTGATTTACCAAACATTTAATATGACAGGTACGATTTTGATTTCCTATGTCGATATTAATAAGGTGAACGTAATACGACTTACGCCTTTTCCACTTCAGCAATGGCATCTTTGGAGACTTTGGCTGGACAAAAGTGAGAAAAGAGTCCTTTAACCACACTAGTTGGCATGTAGCTACTGCTCAGTTTCTTCTGCTGGGCAGGCTTCTTTCTGCCCTTCTGCCTACAAGAAAGGTTTTGGGCTTGAATTGTTGGGTCATTTTAACTACTGTAACAGTGGTATTACATACAGGGTGCCCCATAAAGGTGCGGGTTAGAGAAGGTCTTCAGCAACCCATGCTTGTCATAATGCTATGTACAACCAGTGTCAACATGTTACTACAGGACATCATGCTACATTAAAATACTAGCTTCTGATTGGTTAAGGAGCGGGCAGTTATTTTCCATGTAGCCTGCTTAAGTAGCTCGCTCAAGTAGCCAGCTCATGCAACCTGCTGAGAAATCAATCGGAACACCTTGTAGGTAACTTGCATATCTCGAATAAGTATTGAGTTGAAATGAACTGATGTTTATCCGAATGCATTGGGTAAAGGGAAGTAACTCAGTTTTTTTGCATCTTCTGCTACAAGTTTTGCCGATTCAGTGAAACTGAGGACACATACTCTACAAGGAAAGAAACGAAAAAGTGATTTTAGAAGTATATTTTTAATATCATATAAATAACAAACAGCTGGTAATCATTGTCATTGACCCAGAGTCCATATGACACACATTGAAAAGTAGATTTTCAAGGTGAAGGCCATCTGTTCTCAATATCTTGTATGGCCACCATTAGAGTCCAAAACTAAATGGCATTGTCATCCCATGGAAGCAATGAGATCCCAAATGTTCACACAATCTGCCTGTCAGAGGTGCTGTGGTTGTTGCTGACGTGCTTGCAGTAGTTGATCCAGTGCATCCCATAAATGTTCGATTGAATTTAAATCCTGGAGACCTGGATGTTGTGATTTCTGAAAAAGGCTGTTGTCAGTCTTGCCGTGTGAGGTCGGGTGTTGTCTTGCTGGAAAATGACATTTGCTTGTTGCATAATGGGAAGGATGTGTGGCCAAAGAATCTCATCCGCGTAACGTTGTGCCGTTAAATTCCCCAGGACTTGCACCAAGTCTGTTCTACCAGTGTAGGAGATGACTGCCCACATCATCACACCACCACCACCACCAAATCATATTCCCTGTGATGCCTGTAAACACGATGTCTACCATCAACACGACAAAGCATAAAACGTGACTCATCACTAAACCAAACTTGTCTCCGTGTGACCTCTGTGACCTTGACACCATTGACGTCGCAGCCGACGACCCAGGTCTGTCCAAATGACACCTGAACTGGTTCAGCATTTCCTTACTGTCAGGGCTGATATTCTATGCAATCATGGTATTGCCACAGTTGTAGAGGTGGCCGTGGTGGATCTTTCACGTAAGTGGCGTAGCCGTATGAATCTGTCCTCTGCTCTAGTAGTGATACATAGTCAACCTGATCTGGGAAAGTCACGTGTTGTCTCATGTGTCTTATAACGGTTCCACAGTCTTGTAATGGTGCTTTGTGCTATGTGGAAAAAATCTGGTTCCAGCTGAAGATGATTCTCCTGTTTTTCGTGTTTCAGCGCTTGGCTCTCACATGTTTTTGCGATTTTTCCATCTTTTCACCAAATTTCTGCAGTACCTCATTCTTTTGACACAAATCAATCCCAATTCATACAGAAATGACCAATTTCTTTTTGGTATTAATTTTGTATGGATGTCAGCAACACTTTGTAAGATATTTATGATTTTACTACTATTGCATTTCTTATTTTGCAGAGTATATATCCTGCATGAATGAATGTCAGAAAGACGGCTCAGGGTACATAGGCTCACAAACAGGGTACATGACACCATATGCCCCTCGAGATCGGTTAACAACTTATAATGTACAATCTGTGTCATCATAGCGAAACAGGACGACATGCTATTTTGGGTGGTCAGACTCTGACTCGATTGATGCATGTCATCGTATCCCAATTGTGAAGATCGATGTTCGTGATGACAATCTGAATTATCTGTTCCAGACTTGATTATTTACTGATTGCAGTCATATAGCTGAAATACTGCTGAGTGCGACGTTAAACAACAAACAAATAACAAACATGCAGGGTAAAAAAGGTATTGTGTTCTACTGCGTTCAACAAATAAGAATAAAGAACCAAATACAGAGAACTGAGAGTCCTGTTAGATGCAAAAGGAATTCGTTTTGGAATCAATAAAACTAATTCAACAACATACCGTATTCAGCATAATAAGCACCCAGGGTAATCTCAAAATTAGAAATAGGGGCTCTTATTAGAATATTATTCTGGTGAAAGATCGTAAATTTCGTGGTTTATGCTGAAATGTTTATATATACGACAGATATATTTTTCCATAATTTAATTGACCATAATTAAGGGTGCATATAACACAGGAGTGCATATCATACAATCTTGTTTACATTGATCAATCGGAAGGGGTGCTAATTGGGATTGTTCCCGGGCTAAAATATTAGCAAATATGGGCGCTTGTTAGAGCGGGCTCTTATTACGTCGAATACGGTAATATAGCCCAAGAACTTCACTAATTTTAATCTATGTGTGGCCTTACTTCGCTTGTTCACCTTGCTGCACAGACCCAGGTTTAGGTGTTGAAGTGACTACAGGCAATGGCTTCCTTGAGCTCTGTTTCTTCTTCAAGTGGGGAGTTCGCAGTGGGGTGTAGTATTCATGAGTTTCTCTGCCGGGGAAAAAACTCCAACATTTATAACACTGATCAAAAAAGGAAAAGGAAAAATGGGAACAGGCCCTTTGACATGTTTTCTTAATGACCACAAACTCATGATATATGACTTTGGACATTTAATGTTAAAAACACATTCTTCCTTTAAGAAGTATCACAACCACATTTGGTAAAAGCTAGCTAACCTGACTTTTGTCTCTTCAAGTCTGATCTAAATACAAAGGATACACATGAAATACAGCAATCAGGATGGCATGTCCTTCTCAAATAGTGCCAAAATAAACACTGACAGTAGCCATGCTCAACAATCGTGTCCACTGGTAGCCGAGTCTGATGTCGGCATAGTGTTTGACCTCAGATAAACTACCCCAATGGAAGCAAAGTGACCAATGGCCATATTATATACCTTTATGAATGATGTTTATTTTTTTAAGAGAAATCCCAGCATGTTTATTTTACTTTCATAATAAATACTAACAGCTGAGAGTATACTGAAGGGTCAAGTGTCAAAAGGTATACCATATTTCTACTGAACAAAGGCACTGACAATCCTTGAATGTACCGCTCCAAGCCATCTTTTACTGATCTATATCTGATAGATACTGGAGAAAGGAAATGCTGACATGCATACTGCAGTAAGATTGAAAATTAGAACATACAATGCCTCCAGATAACTTAATAACAAACATATGTCTACCCGGCACTAAATACCGACCTTGACCTTTGACACATTTCAGATAGATAACAGGGAAAGAGTATAGTTTATGTTCACTGAATGAAGAATGGTTTGTTCTCTCATGAAGGAAAATCGAATATTCTTCAGGATCAACCTGTAATTTCTAATTTGACCTCTGAGTGACCCCACATCTCCAAAGGTCATCAGATCTAAACCCACAGCATATCAGGTTTGTGTCCTATGACCTACCCATCTGCTGCAGGGATAATGCTCTCCTCCGGCTCACCATGAAAGTCATCATCATCATATTCATCATCAGACTACAAATAGAATCAAAATCATAAAACAACATAGTAAAAAAATAACTGACATTATCCAATATTCCTCCCTATAAGCATCGAGAAAAGGTTGTGAGTCATAGTGTTTGTTTGTTTTGTTTAACACTGCACTCAGCAATATTCCAGCTATATGAAGGCGATTCTAAATAAACAAGTCTGGACCAGACAATCCAGTGATCATGAGATGACAAACCAACAAACAAACATGGAGACAAAATATCTACAATGCTTTGGCAAGTCTAGATTTCTTCAGTTGCAAGGCAATGTTTATCAAGAGGTATGTATGAAATGAATACAGTTCTAGGAGATTCCATGATAAGTCAGTCATCAAACACACAATTAGGTGTGAAATGGGGGCCAGCTGAAGGGCTGTACGACAGTACCTCCTCCACGTTGTGGTAAGTCCCTGCATGGTGGTCCCGTGCCTGGCGAGACTCTTCCTCCTGGTCAGAGATATCCTCCTCCCCGGCTTGACCACGGTCACCTGACAGGTGCAGACAGGCAAGGTGACATGTTACCTACATTTCTTATCAGCAAATAGATCATGAATGGCAGTTTTGTAGTCTATGAAAATAAAAATAGTATTTGTAAAATTAAAAATCAATGTTTCTGCAAGATTTCTTCAGATATCAAAACTTAAATATGCCATAAAATAGACGTGTAGTTCAAATTAATAGAACAAACTTACTCTTGATGACAAAAAGTGTGCATAGCAGAAACTGACTACACATAAGACAATATAACATAATCTTTCTGAAAGGTTTAAGGTAGGAAAGCATATTTGGAGGTCACATTCATTCAATTGGCTACCTTAAGTTTCAAACTCTCGTCAGAAAAAACAGATGTGTTTGCCAATACATTATAAGGATATTAACGTTTAGAAAACAATGAACTTTCAACATATATTTATATCTCTGGTTTATCCTATGTCTGAAATTAAGAATGAAAGTCAAGGGTTCCTTGTCATAGGCACACTAAAAGATAAAGATATTGGGGGTTCCCCATTTGAATACTGTAGGTGCAAACGTCAAAGACCCCACGACTCCTTTTAATTTCTAACGCTGCTTACCTGCTGATGCAGACTGTTGCAAAGTCTGCACTAATTTTCCAATGATCCTCTTGGATGGACTATCATCATGAAAGTCGTAGACATTGTCCACAAGTCCTGTTGTGTATCTGGGAGAGGACCGGCCACTACGAGGCTCGTCTTGGGTCGGGGCATACGGAGCATAGCCAGTGTCCTCTGCCATGTGTGACGACTGGTCATCATTCTCTGTATCTTAAGTGTAAGCAGTTGTACGTGAGTTGGCTAGGGTCAACACTGTTTAAAACATTGTTTCAGTTATAGGACATCATGTTAGCAAAACGTAGGCAGGGTTAGAAATTGGCACTAGTCCTATAGTCCTTGCCAAACTGCCCAATAGTAAAGGTATCCTAAGGACTAGTAGAATTTTGACATTTTTAAAGGTTCTGCTATATGCTATCATTATAAGGACTAGTGGACTGAAACTTAGTTTCTACCGCTGGTAGGAGTACAGGCCCAAACGATGGTCACATATGTTTATCACTTTGGTGAAACTCGGGAGCATGTGTATGCACAGGCATACACTGGAAGTGACATCCTGCATCCAGTATGCATACAAATTGAAACAGATGTAAAACAATACAGAGTACACCCTCTTGGATGCAGAAAATTTGTATGCATGTAAGGGAATAATTGCTGCATATTTGATAATTAGTTAACACTTAAAATTAATTTCTGTACGCAATCATACAAAAAGTAAGTATTTCGGGATAAATGCCAGGGTTTTATACACTACACAGTGCATTAGCTTTCCTACCTTTATAAAACAGACAGTAATGGAACAGAGAGACAGTTGACACATTATAGCCTGTGCCCCGATACCCACAAGCAATCCACTTCCCCCTGTACTCCCTCATATTCTTCAGTGTATGGCGGCAGGCACAGTTTGGACAGGCGGTGGAGGCGAAAAAGTCCGGGTAGGACTACAGGTCTAGTGTCATGTATGTATAAAAACATTGCATTTATCCCGAAATGCTCATGTTTTACCTAACCTGACACTACACACTGCCTTATTTGACTGACATGGAAGTCCGGCTTACATGATAAGTTATGCTGAGGAAGAACAGCAAAAGTGTCAGGCAAGGTTCCCATCAGTTAACAGCTATGCAGCAGCATCACCATTCATGTCAGAAACTGGGGATGAGTTCTCTCTGGTCAGGGCAAGAGCTAACGAAGATAGATCCTTGCTTGACAGTGGGCTCGAGCAAGGCGTTTCACATCCAGCTCATGAGAGGGAGATGACCATACCTGTACCTTAAGGGGTTCTGACGGAATAGTTCTCAGCATCCCAGAATGTTCAAAGACAACTAACACAAGAGTGCTCTGAGAGCACAACATCCCCCGCATTTAACGAGTCAAATGAAGCTCCGTAAAACAAGGGCAGTAACTCTGTCAAAATTATCCGAAATGAAACGGGACTGCGATATGCATATAATCAACATGTCGACATCTTGTGTGTAGAGTTTCAGGGATATTCTCTGGAAACTGTAGGAGTTGATTTCACAAGCTTAGTACCCTCTCTCACAATAAGGCAAATGAAGCTCCGTAAAATAGGGGCAGTAACTCTGTCAAAATTAGTCAAAATGAAACGGGACTGCGATATGCGTATCATCAACATGTCAACATCTTGTGTGTAGAGTGTCAGGGATATTCTTTGGAAACTGTAGGAGGAGTTGATTTCACAAGCTTAGTACCCTCTCTCACAATTAGGCAAATGAAGCTCCGTAAAACAGGGGCAGTAACTCTGTCAAAATTAGTCGAAATGAAAAGGGACTGCAATATGAGTATCATCAACATGTCAACATCTTGTGTGTAGAGTGTCAGGGATATTCTCTGGAAACTGTAGGAGTTGATTTCACAAGCTTAGTACCCTCTCTCACAATAAGGCAAATGAAACTCCGTAAAATAGGGGCAGTACCTCTGTCAAGATTAGTCGAAACGAAAAGGGACTCCGATATGAGTATCATCAACATGTTGACATCTTGTGTGTAGAGTTTCAGGGATATTCTCTGGAAACTGTAGGAGGAGTTGATTTCACAAGTACTCTCTGTGGGATGGACGGACGGACTGCGCCACGACATAATCCCCCTTCGGCCATTCTGGCCCGGCGGGGGATAACAAGGTGTTTCCTGACCTTGTTAGAGGCCGCCTGCACGGTTCAGTAGGCGTCACTGTTCCTCTGTCAGGGCACGATTGTAGACATCAGGGGTTGGACAGCTGCAGGGCCAGGACCAGGGGCCAAAAGCTGTGTGTGCCCTCGATGTTTTCTACAGAGATCTGGTGGAGGTAATGGCTGGTGAAGACATTTGTGACAACCAGAAGCATCCTTCTATGATGGTCTGGGCAGAGATGTTGGCATGAAAGGCCATCGCTGACGACAGGGCTCGAATCTCATATGGGTAGTGAGCCAGCTTGATGATAATCACGAAGGATGCCAACTGGAATCTCTTGTTGCGGGTCACTTCTACAGTGACACAGTCATGAAAAAAGGCCACCAGTGAAGATGATATGGTAGAAAGGTGATTGGATTCCTCTTAGTTGATTATCCAGCCCAGATGATGGAGGAGAAGGTCGAGCCCCTCTGAAGAGACAGGGCCTGTGGAACACAATGGATGAGGATGTAGTAGCTATGAAGGCATCTAAACAAATCACTCTCCGGTGTAAGAAACTGGGTTATGCGTTGAAAACTGTAAATCTGGAAAGGAGTGCAAAAACACTCACAATAGTATCATGATGCAGATATTTTTGCAGACAAACAAGGAACAAAAAGCAGAAGGAGGCATATTTCTTTTAGTCACTTCCACACATTGTCAGCCAGCTAGTGTATAATTAAATATAGAATCCTTCTCATCCTGTTTCCTTAATTACACATTGTCACTCAAGTGTCAATAGCCTAATCATGAATGTTCACCAATCTGTCACATCTGGTCAAATTGCTTACATACCACTGCGTAGTCTAGATGTACACCAGCCGTATAAAACTCCTGTTAGATAAACATGCCCCTCCAACCTTCGTTGTCAACTACAACATATACATCTATAGTTAAATCACTGACTGACACTGAGTTTTCATCACACAGCTTCCTACTTATAAAAAGTAGCATGTGCAAAAGTATAGCTTTGATCTTCAGTAATCACATCATGAGGGCATCGCAAAATTTCCAGACACAGTTAAGGTTAGAGCTAGACACTGGCAATAATTTCATGATGTATAACTTTCCAGATTTACAGTAACCACCGGCGCCAAGAATTTCAAATGGGAGCACTCTTCCCGCTTGGGGTTCCGTATCTTCCCGGGGGATTGGCGCCATGAGCAAAATGAAGAACCATGTCCGGCAAAGCTTGGTCTCTTGCCGAAGTAGGATTCCTGTCCTGGAAGAGTGCTGACGAAAACAGATACTCCATATTGTTGAGGAGTGGAAACTGCTGCATAATTGCCTCCCAATTTTTGGCATCATGGTGATTTGAGTGACTGGATATAGATGGCGAGGTTAAGTAACTGGTGCTGCTGATTGGCGTACGAAGGATTCATGTCCATGAAATCCTGGATAGCCAAGTAGGCGAATGCGGCCACTGATAATGGGTGGAGAGACTGGCAGAGAGTAGAGACCATGCAGAAGATATGAGAGTCTGACATTGGGATAGATGACAATGGCTTGGAAGTCACAACCAGCAAACACACAATGTCATCATCAGCTGGAGAGGCGTCTGCGATGGGATAGTCCAACAGAAAAAGAATAGCAAAAGCGTCACCTAAGGAGTACAAGATGTCGGCGACCAATGGGTTGCGTGGCAGGAGAAACATCACTGAAGTCACTGTGGGAAGACGCCTTGGCGAAGCGCAGAGCAGATGATCAGCAACCCCGGTTCATCATCAGAGTGGCAGCAATTACGGTGGCTCATGACTAGTGGCGAGGTCGTCTCTGGCGCTCTGGATGAGCAAGGCGGGTCTGAGGTTCCTGACGCCAGGGTGCAAGTGGTGGAGGAGGTGTGGTGCAGGTGTCTCTGCACTGGTGACCATCAGGCGACTGCTGGTGATGGCTCTACTGACAGATGACAGGGCGACCATCCAGGCTATCTCGATCAGTGATGGAATCCAGTAGACTGGTGGGAGGACGTCTCAGAAGAAGCACAGGCGATGAAATGATCCTTGCCGCTGGCAACCTTGCCCATTTGGTTCCTGGCAAAATCCTTTATAGATAAGGTAGAATATACAAGACATCTAGTGTCAAAACTACATAGAGGACTGCAGTGATGAAAAGGTCGATGGGGGTCGTTCCCTGACTTGGTTGATATTACCAGTCAAATACTGCAAAAACGGTAACAATGTCTCAGCTTGTGGAACCATGCACCCAAACACCGCCTCAGTCTGGAGAGTGCAAACCAGGCAACAATCATACTCCACCTATATAATAGGAAATATGTGAACAAAAAGTCATTTACAAGAAAATAAATGAGAGAACTACTATTAGTTCCTGAAAACTATAGCAAAAACACGAATAGAGTGTTCAATGCAAGCCACAAGATTGGCTTTTCGATATACAAATTAGTGACCTTGGTGTGAAAAAGTGCTCAAGTTCTTGGTAACCAGTTTTTGCGAAAACAAAAACACAGCAGAAAGTAGAAATATACTGCATAGAAGCGGAATATATGTCAGAGAAAGGACATACTCATCGAAAACCACCATACACCCGTGAGGAATCGACTTAGAAGTATCGGAAGTAAATCTCAGTTCACTGTAGTGTAAGAACGTCTGTCGAGTAGGCAGACAGAAGAATACGAGGGAGTACGGGCAAAGGTAGATTACTCCTGGGTATCGGGGCCCGTGCTATTGTTTGTTCAACTATCTCTCTGTTCAAGTACTGTCTGTTTGTAAAGGTAGGGAAGCTAAAGTACTATGTAGCATCAGGTAAGGTAAAATCAACAGAACATGAATGCTTCATGATTTTCTTTCTAGAGCTGCCAGGTTTGTTTCACTTGGGGTACTTCATATCTATGTTTAACCAACTGACGTCACGTAAGATAGAGCATTGTATTTATTATGGACCCCCATTTTGTAGCTTGGGACCCCCAACAATTAATGTCTTTGAGTCACTTGGACTCCCAAAATAAACATCCCAGATAATCCCGGAATGCTTCTGATAAACAAAGGATTATCATCAGGCAACTATGGAATTCAAACCCATGACCTGCTGATCCTGGCAAGGTAAAGGGAAGCAACTCTGCACTGCAAGCAGACACTTCCAAGGTCACTGTGCTACCAATGAAGGACAGATCAATTGGTGACACAGTGTGAACCATAGCATGTATAGTTTCTGACATAATTCAGTTGAACTTCTCTAAGAAGGAGACAGTACTCTGGCTACAAGCCCAACAGGCAAACTACACAACATCACACAAGTAACGAACAAGTGTCAACAATATACCAACTTTATCATGGCGACCTGTAAATAACTGAGTCCTGGTAGACAAATGACAAGTTGATTCAATAAGCAAAAATCCCTATGTTGGGGTACCAGAGCTTGACCATATGCATTAAATAAACTGAAATATGGAGACAAATCAAATACAAGCGTATCAAATATGCAGAAAAAACTATAAATACGTTATTGAAATAAAATGTATGCATATAACACCTATTAGATAAAACCATTGCGTATACCATGTATACTACAACTGTTAGATAAAATTATTGTGTATCAGCCGATCACAAAATTCACATACCAACAGTTACATTCGGAAAAGCTTGTCCGACAAACATACTGATACTTAAAAGCACATTGTGCCCAGTTAATGTACATGTAGTTTCTTAATCAGTTGCTGATTGGTGATTCAAGAAATATCGCCTTTCCTACAATGCTAGGTTTTGCAAACAAAAATGGCTTCCTGGAGACAGGCATAGTCTTAAAAGATTTACAGGGTTTTACAGGGAAACAGGTTTTAAGTTAAAATAACCAAATGTCAAAAAACATGAGAAACAGGTGGGTAAAAAATTTGAATACCCTCAAAAAATTGTGGATACCCAATAAAATCAAACCCCTGGGTAAAATACCCAAATAACCACTGGCATACAACCATCTAGGTCATACACTAGCTGTAACCACCCAATCCTCACCAGCTGACTAAGTATGGTTTCTTGACAGAAATCCCATCATCAGAGATCTGACAAGTGGTGAAAGGAACAATAGAGTATCAGAAAGTAAGACGTTTCATCTTTCAGGCATAAATTATAACCTGAAAATAAATATAGAAATAACTTACCTCCATCTTCATTATCTGATCCTTTGGCCAACTTTGATTTTGACATTGACCTAGACTTGGGAGTTGGTCTTTCCTTTACACTCAAATTAGATTTTGAATTGGAACCCAATCCGGAAACAGATGCATCACCTCGACTTGGAGACGAATGACCCTCCTCTTCAACTCTTGACCTTGATCTTGAGAAGCTTGCCCTTGAAGCTGGCCTACTACTTTCATCATGTTTGCTTGAAGCACTGTCCAACGAATCATCTCTTCTCAACTTGGAATCGGTTGGATACGGCGCATCAGCCGAGTCCAATTGCACATCATCGTCTATTCGTGATTTCGATTTGGATGCGCTTCTGTCTTCAGCAACAAAAGATCCTTCATCCACAGAGTCTATATCCTCCTCTACATCTGCTATCATGTCCCCTCCTGCTCGCTCTGTGGCATTTGCACTTTTGACTTTGCTTTTACTGACTGTGGGTCGGGGAGACAGAGACACATTGCCTGATCGTCTGTTGCTTCTCGGAGTGCCTGTCCTTGGTGATCTGGTCGTCCTAGGTGTCCTCAACTTAGGAATCCTACCTGGAGAGAGGTGAGCGTCAGAAACACGAGACATGGACAAACTCCTACTGGGTGTAACACGAGAAGCATTCTTCAAAGAAGCCATGGACAGTCTTTTGGATGGTGTGACTCTGCTTCGGGACAGTGACTTTCTTGGTGATTCCGCAGCAGATGTGTCATCCTTGGCCGATGTGTCGGAAACATCTTGTAATGAACTGTGCGCACTCTTTCTCCTTGATCTGTTAGCATCTCTGCCTATCTCCACGGTCTGAACATTGAAGAAGAGCAATGCTTCACATACTATACTCACCGCCAAAAGAAATGCGAATACCATACATGTTGGTTAATATGTTAAGAATTACTCACATTCAAGAGATATTAGATTGGTTCGATCCACAAATGACCATACTATTGTGTTTCATGAACCAACGCTCATGAACGCATCACAAAGACCTATAACTCTAGATGCACGACTTGTCTCGTGCAGGATTAGCATGTAAAGTTTGGAAATCACGTGCAGCATATCGCAATAAGAATAAGGACACTGTGGTAACACTTTGCTGATTGTTAGTTTTGTCATTAAGTGCTACACATTGGAAACTCTTCTTAATGTAAATAGTTCTCTATATGTATCAATGGTTCGCGTTTCTTTTGGCGGTGACAATATTTAGAAATGAATGTGCTTATACACTGGGCAGTTGCTGTGAATAGCACTGGTGATGCTGAATGCTTTGTTTTATCTGTTTGTTGTTAAATGTCGCACTTAGCATTATTCCAGCTATATGACGGCAGTCTGTAAATATGCAACAAGAAGCAAGATCAAACAGGGATAATCCAACATATTGGAATCATAGATATTCCAATTCAGGTTACCATACATTCTAACTTAATGTCTTTTTGCCTGGAATATGTGACAGAGATTAACATTATAGAACTGAATGTAATTCTAAGATACCTCTGAACTATTTAAATGTAAAAATATATGAACCTTAAAAACATTTCAAAATCGTTTTATCTCAATTTGCCCACAATGGGCCCTGAATTTAAATCCTGGATAAACCCTCGCAATTATATAACTCACTCTGTCAAAAAGGACATTCATTGGATCGAGAAACAAATCACATAGTTTTCAAAAAAATGAATGTGTAAGTGAGTGAGTGAGTGAGAGTTTATGCCAAACTGAGCATTATCTCTGGGTACAAAAGTAATCATTGACTGCTTGATTGATGAACATCATAATATTGGATATTTAAAGGACTTGATTCAAACAATTACTCATTCATCCTGTTACTTACAGCACTGAGGCCAGAACACTTAAATGTCATATCCATGCATGAGTGAGTGAGTGAGTGAGTGAGTGAGTGAGTGAGTGAGTGAGTGAGTGAGTGAGTGAGTGAGTGAGTGAGTGAGTGAGTGAGTGAGTGAGTGAGTGAGTTTGGTTTTACGCCGCTTTTAGCAATATTCCAGCAATATCACGGCTGGGGACACCAGAAATTTGGCTTCACACATTGTACCAATGTCAGGAATCTAACCCGGGTCCTCGGCATGACGAGCGAACGCTTTAACCACTAGGCTGCCCGACCGCCCATTTCCATGCATGAAGAATTTTAAGTCCACACTCCTCCTTCTGGAGAAATTAGGCAAACTTCCAAAAAACAATGTCTTGACATCCTTATTGGAATGATAAAAACAGCAAGATTTAGTGTTGGATCTTATCATGATATACCTGTTCCTCTGCACTATACTCCTCTTCTTCATCAGTTGAGAATTCCAACTCTTTCCCTGTCCTCTGCTGTTTGGCGAGTTTATCACTTCTACGGCGAACGATGTTGATAGGCAGCCTCTGCCTGCCACCACGGGTCTTCTGACTTTGCTTGGTCAGCTTATTCTCATGGAAACTGGAATTAAGAAAACAGGGTCATAATGAACTACAAGGTGTTTTTTTTATTTGTTCATTATATCCCAAGTATGTTCCTCACATTGCATTTTTTGTTTAATAGCATCACTTCTGGTCTTTAAAAATACATGACCAATTCAGTAGAGCTTTGAAACAGAAAGTCTTATGCCTCTAGCCACTTCATAAATAAGGTTATAAGCACTTCTGGGCTAATAATATCACATCCCGTTTGGGAAAACACATGCCCAATGCAGTTCAACTTTGAAACAGAAATTCCTCTACCTGTAGCTACTAATATACTGAACAACAAAAGTTCCTGTGACATTGAATAAGATTTAATGCAAAGTTATGTTTTTTACCAAATCTGAAACAATTCGGTTTGCAACAGATAAAAGACTCCTATTAGTGTTCAAATAGTTTAATTTACCATACTGACTTCAGAAAATGTGTGATTTCAAAAAAACCATGAACATGCCAAAATGTCAATTTACAAATCAATAGCGTGTGTGTCCACCTCGGGTTGCGATGCAAGCAACACATCTTTGTCTCATGGAATGGACCAGGCATCGCACAGAGTCCTGTGGGATATCTGTCCATATCTATTGGAGCATGCTTTGAAGTTCCTGGAGTGTCTGTAGAACACATGGTTGACGTCGAAGGTGCCGATCAATCTCATCCCACATGTGCTCAATTGGTGAGAGATCAGGGCAGCGAGCCGGCCAGGGGATGACTTCACGTTGTTTTGTTGAAGGGAATCCTGAACAAGTCGAGCAATATGAGGCCGGGCGTTGTCATGTTTAAAGGTAATGCCTGGGCCATGACGACGCAAAAACGGTAGAACAACAGGGCCGATGATGTTGTCGCGGTAGCGCTGTCCATTGAGATTTCCCTCTACCACTATCAAACGGGTCGTCTGTCTTGCTGTAATCCTACCCCATACCATAATGCTGCCGCCCCCGAACCGATCTTCTTCCATGACACAATGATTGACGTAATGTTCATCTCGACGTCGGTACACTCAAACCGTCCATCGCTGTGGCTGAGGTGAAAACGAGACTCGTCAGTGAATAGAACTTGTCCCCACTGCATGGCCGTCCAGCGTTCTGCACCACTGTAAATGTGCTTGACGATGGTTTCCTGTCAAAATGGGACGTCTGGCAGGTCTTCTGGCAACAATCCCTGCACATCTGAGGCGACGAAGTACGGTTTGTGAAGATATTCGTCAAAGGCCAGGGATGTTTCTTGCAGTCACTGTTGCTGGCTGGTGTGTTGTTCGAATCCAGTTGTCTTGTCGATTATTGGTTACGCAAGGCCTGCCACTCCGAGGATGGTCTCTGACTGCATTCGTCTGTTGTCAACGTTGCCATAAATACCTAATGGTGTTTCTGTGGACGTTAAATTGTCTTGCAACATCACATTGACTCGATCCTGCTTCAAGCATACCAATGGCTCGCATACGCTCTTTTTCAGACAGGCGTGGCATTTCGTAATGTTGAATAATTGCATAATTTTGTTATTTTTCGGAGTGGTTGTTGTCAGCACGATGCTAAACAATGCATATGGAATCCCGTTAACGCACATGTTTTTACACCCATTTTTGGGTAGTGAAATGCATGGGGCTTGCATGAAAGTCAACTTTTGCATGGAATGCACGTTTTTCTGTAGCAGTTGTGTTTGTACTACAATATTGAAAACCAAACTTTACTTGTTTGAAAAATACACTAAAATATTGGTGTCACAGAAACTTTTGTTGTTGAGTATATAACAAAGTTACAAGCACTTCCTGATTAATGACCTTGACCTTCAATCTTAGCTATGAACTGCTTAAAGATCACTTATGTAATGTTTCAACAAACTACAATAACAAATAGTTATTGTGCATACAGAAGGTTTTCGGAATGTCTACTTCATGACTGACCTTGACCTTCAACATGATCGAATCACATGTATGAACACGACTTGTTGCAAACTGTGGTTGTGTTACAAATAATAAGTCTCCAAACCCTACAAACAATATTTCCTGAATAAGACTATTTACAAGACATTTCATGAATAATGACCTTCAAAGCAACCTTGACCTTCCAGGTCATTAACCATGTGTCAGAAAACTGCCCCAGGGTACATAGGTTTGTTTGTTTGTTGTTTAACGCCGCACTCAGCAATATTACAGCTATGTGACGGCGGTCTGTAAATAATCGGGTCTGGACCAGACAATCCAGTGATTAATATCATGAGCATCGATCCACGTAATTGGGATAGATGACATGCATCAACCAAGTCAGCGAGCCTGACCATCCGATCCTTTTAGTCGCCTCTTACAACAAGCATAGTCGCCTTTTACGGCAAGCATGGGTTGCTGAAGACCTATTCTACCCCGGTCTTCACCGGCCGGGCACATAGGAGGTATATCGGGCATGAAGTCTGTCATAAGCAATGGATGAACTGCAATTGAGCAAACACAATCAGCAGCCCCCGTTTGGAGGGAATGAGAGAAATTTGGATATAAGTTTGTGATATGAAATTTTGAAATGGTGATGTTATTTCCAAGACGAAGCTATGGGTCCAGGGAATATATCATAATAAAATGGAGGTATCATAGCCTGGACAAGTGAGGATGCCATTTGAACCCAACATCATCAGATTCTGGCATGACTAAAGAAAGCAACTCTGCACAGTAAAATTGGGACACCTTAGAAGACTGTGCTACCAAATAGTAACCTATGTCCTCCATAATACATAAGGACTAGTCCAATCCGAGTTAATGTCTAACACTGTATACTTAGTTAACTTAGATGTCTCTGGTAGTTACCTGGCTTCAACAGGTTGGAAGCTGATTTCATTATTGGGAAGATCTCCCAAACTAGAACGTGCAACAGATTTATCTCCCTTGGCAGCTCGAAATTCTGGTGTTTGCTCCACACCTACAATTAAAAGTGTCATTGCTGAATATATCAAGTGTACTATCTTTGACGAATATATCAAGTGTACCATCTTTGACGAATATATCAAGTGTACCATCTTTGACGAATATATCAAGTGTACTATCTTTGACGAATAAATCAAGTGTACCATCTTTGACGAATATATCAAGTGTACTATCTTTGACGAATATATCAAGTGTACTATCTTTGACGAATATATAAAGTGTACTATCTTTGACGAATATATAAAGTGTACTATCTTTGACGAATATATCAAGTGTACTATCTTTGACGAATATATCAAGTGTACTATCTTTGATGAATATATCAAGTGTACTATCTTTGACGAATATATCAATTTACTATCGTTGACGAACATATGTGTATATTATCTTTGCTGAAAATATCAAGTATATTAATATCTTTGACGAATATGGCAAGTATATTATCTTTGACGAATATATAAAATGTTTTATCTTTGCTGCATATATCAGGTGTATTATGGCAAGTGTATTATCTTTGACGAATATATCAAGTATATCATCTTTGACGAATATATCAAGTGTTTTATCTTTGCTGCATATATCAGGTGTATGATCCTTGCTGAATATACCAAAGTGTAATATCCTTGCTGAATATATCAAGTGTATTATCCTTGCTGAATCTATCAAGTGTAATCTTTAGTGTACTATCTTTGCTGATTATGTCAATTGTATAATCTTTGACATGTATATCAAGTGTAATATTTAGTGTATTATCTCTGCTGAACGGTTTTGCAATGATTCGTTGTTACGGTTCATCCACCATTTTTGTTGACTTGACTTTTTTGCCATGGACTTATTATTTCTTGGGTCCAAATCATTGACATATACAGCTTTTTGAGTAAAAATCACTGTACAATCGATGAATTCCCTCTAACAAAATATTGATATGGCAGTCACTGTTATTTTTTTAAGCATGATTTTGCTAGGTCCCTGTTTTAGACTGTTTTCACAATTTATGACAAAGACAACAGAGGCAATGAGAAGGAAAAGAAAGAGCGAGATCATGATCACAACAAACATTGACGAGACAGGAAGCTTCAGCTGAACTGGACATCTAATTTTCTGCAGCCGATTACCAACTCAGAGTATTTACAAAAGCAGGCCTGCAACTTTTAAGACAGGCTAGTTACATTTATGAGTCACCAGTCCAGCTGCCTTTCTAGGAGGAAGAATTATTTCAGATACTGATTATTATTTTTTCATCTTACAAAATGGTGCAGTTGAAGCTGTCAAGATATTGTTCCTTAAAAATATGAAACAATGAGTAACCTAATTTCACAGTACACTCCAAAGAAAAGCAACAACACCCACCTTGATCCAACAAGCCAGTGATCATTGTTCTGGGTGTAAACTGATTAACAACTTTCTCCATAGATGGAATCCCGAGAGAGGATCGCCGTCGTGACTTTTTAACCTTGGTGGAAGAAGGAGGAGGTAACTCTCCAACTCTCTTGCTCTTTCGTGTCGATGGAATGGCAGTGTCTTGTGTATCAATAAAACCTTGTATCTGAAATATTGTTGGAAAACCTGTCTGCAAATGTATGTTTCATTTCAGCTTCACTATCATAGTGAGTGAGTGAGTGAGTGAGGTTTTACGCCGCTTTTAGCAATATTCCAGCAATATCACGGCGGAGGACACCAGAAATGGGCTTCACACATTGTACCCATGTCGGGAATCGAAACCAGGTCTTCGGCGTGACTAGCTAACGCTTTAACCACTAGGCTACCTGACCGCCCCTCACTATCATAGTTCTTGTAAAAATGTGTACTGAATTCTGAACAATAATTGTTTGCTGTTTAAAGTTGCACTCAGCAATATTCCATATATGACGGAGGTCTGTAAATAATCGAGTCTGGATTGGGATAGATGACATGCATCAACAACGTCAGCAAGCCTCATCACCCGATCCTGTTAGTCGCCTCTCACAACAAGCATAGTTGCCTTTTACGACAAGCATGGGTTGCTGAAGACCGATTCTAACCCGGATCTTCGCGGGTCGACTTTTCATATACATGACCTTATAAAGACATGCATTAATTACTAACATCATTATGGACTGGTAATTCATTATAGGGTGTGAGTGGGTGTGAGGTGCATGAAAGATTGTTACATAAAGTATTTGTGTTCAATTTCAAAACCCTTTAACATACAAGGTGTCTTGGTGTCAAGTCCTCTTCAATGGCAGCTCTCTGTCTCTTTGATACAGGTTTGGAAGATGAGCCAACTGTTGGTGATTGAGATACAGGCCTTCTCTTCCGTGCTGGATGCGTGCTTTTCTCTGTCGCCACATTGTCAGCATATTGTTGGATCAAGTTTCGCGGAGTGTGTTTTGACGACATTTTCCTTATAAATAAAAAACATATTAAATTCATTATTTCTGCTGTATTTTATATTTCCAGAACTTACCAATGTGTGAGATATCTATATTGATTACTGGTATTTAAGCATGCAAAGTTTCACATATGAAATTGGAACATCACTTCAAAAAAGTATGACCGCCATATGTCTCATATCGTGATAACTAGACAATATCAGAATAGTGCACATTTTGTCCAATATCAGAATAGTGCACATTTTAGCTGCTATTGAAATTAATCAAAATTGGCTTTCATAGGAGATATGGTTTTGTCGAGATCAAATGAAACTCACACCCATCAGCCATATATTCATAGTATTCATGAACATTATGAAAATGATATATTTATCGAGTTGTCCCCTTACAGTTTACTAAGAATGTTGTGCAGTTAATTGTTTGAAGAATTTCCAATTTTTAGAAACTTCTATTCCATAACATAAACTTACACCGTCCAACTGAGTTTAATCAAACAGTCAGATTGAATATATATATTGTGTTAATGAGTTTTGACTTGTTGGTTTTGAATGTTCATTCAATGTGACATGCATCAACTAAGTCAATACTGACTTTAGTGTCGTTAAAATGCCACCCTTTGGGCCGTCTATGTGTTTATTGACTTACTCATAGTCATACACAATAACAGTCTACGAAATTACCAAGAAAACTTTGGTAGCCAACAAAATCACCCTTGCCACATCTTTCTTCCAGGGACACACTTCCATGACTAAAGATAGTAGACCAATGAACCAGTTAGCGTACGCCATGTAAATTATACTCTATGAACCTGTAAGAAATTAGATTTCATCTGAGAATATGTAATATACCTTTTTACAATCATAACATCTTGAAAATACCGCCTGTAAATTTGCTTTCCGGATTTATGTTAAAACCGTGTTTACAGTTAATCCGGAATTAGGTTAATTTTGTTTTAAAATGTAGACGAATTCTGTTATCTACCGCCGAAAAGGCTTCTCATTTTGTTTTCATACCAATATAAAAATGCTATTTTCTGAACAGTCTTTTTAGAAACGTTTAACGTGTACAGATTCGTTCTTTTACAGAATCCTTAAGATGGTAGAACCCAATCTCGCTAAATCGCGCCATCATTGCAATCGGAACATTCGCATTGTACTTCACCAAAACTGAATTGCGTACCGGATCGTCTTAAGCCGAGCTGCTCCGAATGTAGTTCACGAGACTGGCAAACGTGCATTTCGAAAATCACCGCAAGGTGCTCACGATCGCAAAATGGGGGAAATGGAACAATGTAAAGTCATTGCCCACCAGTTCGTTCAAAACTACTATGAAACATTAGATAAGATCGGACTACGACAAAATCTGACTCATGTTTACACGGTATGTCAAACAACGGCGAAACATTCGCACTGCAGTCCCGTCTCCATTGCAGAGGTCCACTTTAGGCGAACTCAAGTCATTAAATATTGCCGGTTACTTGTTTTAGGTGATGCATGTTTTGAAATGACGTGGGTTTATAGCATACAGGGATTTGTTAGAATAAAAGCCTAAAGGTGTTATTCATTGTCGATGTCTTGACCTACATCATTGTTCACATGAATACTTGCCATTCACTTTCTCTATCAACTTTTGGCCAAATGAATATGTTGACAGTTAAATGTCAGTTGAGTCTCGTCAGATTGTTTAGTCACGATATGGATGAAGTACTGTCGATGTTACTAAATCCTAACTCCCTCGTCAGATTGCTGGATGTGATTGGTAGTTTTGCCATAATATTTGTCTCCCCATTTCCCCCCAATGCTATGTTACAACTTTAGAACTAAGGCAGGACTGCGGTTTACAGAGTGCATCTTATAGTGCCAGTGTGGTTCCAGCTGCAGTCCGCAGGGTTAGGGCAGGTTAACCCTAAACTCTATCCTTTGACCCCCTTTAAGATCATAAGGTTTAGGTACCGCTTTCTAGAAACACCCTCCACAATCCTGAGGGTTAGACACCCAAACATCTTTTACAATCCTTAGGGTCAGGTACCCTCTTACAATCCTTAGGAATAAGAATGCTGTATACCGGACACCTTCCGCCATTTTGGTAAGGATGTGCACAAGCTCATTCCTTAGTAACTGTTTCTGTATTTCAGGTGCCATTTCTGTCGCCCCGCTAACAGGGGGTTAGGGGGGCTTGCCCCCCATTCAAGCTTGAATTAAATGCTTTTGTGAAATCTTTAATTACCAAAGTAGATACACAATACATTATTAGTATCCTCAAACAAATTAACATGGCGGATTGGTGTCCGGTATAATGCATGTGTACCTCCTTAGGGATAGTTATGAATTAGGGTATTTGTGTAACTATTTTTACAAATGATCTAATGTAATTCAGCGGTAGAAACTAACATTTTTGGACCAATAGTCCTTATAATGATAACATATAGCAAAACCCTTTAAAATGGCAAATTTCTACTAGTCCTTATGATACCTTAACTATTGGGCAGTTTGGCAAGGACTACAGGACTAGTGCCAATTTCTTACCCTGTAATTTGAGGAAATTCTTCATTTTTTAAAAATCAAGTTTTGCCTTTTAACAGAGAAATATGGCAACCGTGTATGAGCAACAAGGTAAACAAATGGGTGCTGATCACTTGGTGCAAGAGCACTATTTATTTGTGATAGTGCCTATGGAGAAGTGTTTGCTAATTATTTTAGACAGTTTTGATCGTTGCTAATGGTATCATTGGATGTCTGTCCAGGACTTGATGATTTACAGGCTGCCGTCATATAGCTAGAAAATTGCTGAATGCAGCCTCAGTCAATGAACATGAACAGCCTTTCTGTAGCCAACTAGCCTAAAGTAGACACATTGCACTGCATTGTGGCCATATAGGTAATGAAGGAATGTAGTGTATACGAACCCGTGAAGTGTTGATGTGTTTGAGAACAAATTTGTTTTCAGGATGAAACCCAGATGATGTATGAAGGACAATTGTACACAGGAAAACAAGCTGTCATGGAGAAATTAATGGTAATCTGAATACATGTTGTTATATTTATATACTGCACTTGTCCAGACGTCTCTGCTCAAAATGCAGTTTATATTTGCATGTTGCTTTGTACAAGGTCATGTTTAATCAGGTTTTCATTAATGGGTCAAACAAGGACTGCTTGACCGAGCAAGTATGCTGTGTCTGAGTAGCCTAGGTTGTCCATGTTAAACTGCAGCAAGATATCTCCGTGGGCTAGTGCTTTAAAACCGGTATTAGTGAGAAACAGCATTTGGTATGTCTAATATGGGTTTATAAATCATTAAAATGTAATTTGTATCCATCATAATCTAGCATAAGTGATGAATAAGATTTTTAACTGCAGTGAACTGTAATAGCTAGCCATGATAATAGATATCATTTGCACATGTTGCAGGGTAAGAAATGACTTGTTAGTGACAAGTATAATGAATATGATTACGGAAGGACTAGTGATGTTTCCTTGTGGACTACCACTTTTTCCATTAGCTACATGGCAACTTTGTAGCGGATAATCCAAATTTGTTAAATTATCATTCTTGTTAAAATCAGATCTTTAACTCGAATCTATATCTCGTGAAGATCTGAGGACACGTCCATAGATGGTCGCGTCGGGGTAAACTTTCTGATCAGCCAATCACTGTTGAGGCTTCTTTTGTCAGTATGAGTGAGTGAATCATTCAGACAAGTATATCTGATTTCTATATCTCAAAAAATGAATATAATTTGGGAATTCCAATAGCAAAAGGATTAAGACATTTTTGGGGGGATATTGTATACATTCTGTCGTTTCTGAGTGCCATGGCATCTACATGAAAAGAGCGTAGATTGAAATTTGCGAATCAGTGATAAAGAAGCTGAATCGTTTTGAAAGCTGACATTCGAATTGCTCAAGAAACGATGCATGCTTTAGTTAGATTAGTTCACCTGACGCGAGACCCGTGAAGATTCAGGGTAGAACAGGGTCTTCAACAACCCATGCTTGCCGTAAAAGGCGGCTGTGCTTGTCGTAAGAGGTGACTTACGGGAATCGGGTGGTCAGGCTCACTGCCTTGGTTGATGCATGTCATCGATCCCAATAGCGTGGATCGATGCTCATGATATTAATCACTTGATTGTCTGGTCCAGACACGATTATTCACAGACCGCCGTCATATATCTGGAATATTGCTGAGTGCGGTGTTAAACAACAAACCAACCAACCTGACGCGACCTTACATGTCCTCAGATCTTGACGCAGAGACATATCGTATCGGAATAAAAGATCTGATTTGAATGAGATTCTTAAATTCTGAGATATGTGTTGTATTGAGGAATTTAATGTTACTTACAACTGCAATTTCAGATCCTGCCAGGTAACATGGCAAGAATGTGTTCTGCCGTGGATGCCCTCATTATAGAGAATGGCTACCTCCTGGTGAACATCATGGGCCAGCAGAAGGTGAGTGTTGCTGTCCTGGGTGTGGCCTCGAACATTCCCTACATCCACCTGGGTTACAAGAACTTGTGTAGTCAAACAGGGTTGTTCCAATTTATTAAATGTATCGAATGATTGATTGGTTTCACATAGCTGCCAACTGTCCTGAAGTTTTCATACTTGGTACGAATTTGCAACTATACTGAAGAGAAAAAGTTAGGGATCATGAATATTTTTGGGGATATTTTTTAGTTGTGAAGACTGAGCACACAGTTTCATAAAAATATCTGCAACAATATTCATGGTCCCTGACATTGTTTGTTCAGTATATCATATGAAAATATGATTTCTTCCGTAATTCATACAATTTTTTTTAGAAAAGTATCACAACGATAACCTTTTGGAGATAGTGTTTAGAGTGAGTGAGTAAGTTGGGATTAACGCCACTTTGAACAGTATTCCAGATATGTCATGGCATGTCAGCTTAATGTGTGAGGAAAGCCCAAAGTTATGCACCTGACAAACCAAGATACATAATAATAATAAGATAGTGAACCGGGATTCGAACCCATAATCATAGGGTTCTGGCGTGGCCTAGGGACGCCACTCTGCACAGGGAATTTCCACCCTGGCCGTACTAGGCCTTCTAAAACTCTCAGCTTTGCATATCCATAAGAAAAAAATCACATGGGCGTGGCGGGATTGTTAGTCGTCATGATCGATACATGGACATTCCCTGCTGTTAAGTTGATGTAAAAAATAAAACACGAAGTAAAAGAAAGTTTAATTTTCAATCACCACATTGTGGCAGTTATATTGTTTTGATATACTTATTATATACTAGTTACCTGCTATTTGATGTTTATTTTTGGCACCTATTAACTTCTTTGGAGAATTATGTTAATATTAAGGATAATAGATCCGGGTTAGAATAGGTCTTCAGCAACCTATGCTTGCCATTAAAGGCAACTATGCTTGTCGTAAGAGGCAACTAACAGGGTCAGGTTCAGGCTTGCTGACTTGGTTGATGCATGTCATCGTATCTCAATTCTGTGGATCAATGCTCATGATGTCAGTCACTGAATTGTCTGGCCCCCCTCACATAGCTGGAATATTGCTGAGTGCGGCGTTGAACAACAAACAAACAAACAAAACATAGATGTGAGAAATTGAGTGAGAAATGGTCCATGGAATGTCTGATTGCCAGGTGATATTTTCCAGAGCCTGCTGCTTCATGTAATGTAGATGTTGGTACATTGTATTTCGTTTATTTACCCACAAATATAAAATATTTTGTTATATAAACTGAAAATGCGAAAAAATGTATGTTTGAAAGTTTAGTTGCAGTAACATAAAGCCAAATAATGTAGAATGGAAAGGAAATTTTGTTGTAAAGTTAAATACTAAAAAGTTACAACTGCACAATATCATGTATACTGCCCTTCATATCTCATTCAAAATGCCATGCTTCTGAAGGAATTCTAGGTTGATCTGGGTTGATAAATATTACATATGTCTTGTCCTTTGTTTCAGGTTGATCAAGACCCCCCACTAGGATTTGTGCATTCATTTGTTCTGGCACAGAAGGAAAGCCGTATTTTTATCGCTAAGGAAATATTCCGATTAGTTCTTCACGATCTATAACTCTTTGATGATGTTGATGTATCCAGAAACTGACAATAACACATACGCGCTGCAACCGGCGTGATATGTAAATGTGTACAAAACTTTGAAACGTCCCGATTGTGATTTGCCCACTTCTGATGGACAGGACAGTGACAGCCAGCAACCTCTACATCCTCCTCTACATCTACAGCCTCCTCTACATCTACAGCCTCCAGCTTCTGTATCCAGGAATTCAAAATATAATGTCTGTATCTCTGTACCATCACCATGGAAACGTGATGTAATTTGTTTTGTTTTTTATGTTTAGTCTTATGAGTGTGGCAAGGGCAGTTCATGGGTGTTTTCAGCGGCTCTGTATGGAGTTTGTTGTATCAATCTGCTTGTCACTGTCAATCTTGCACATCTACTGCGCATCTGCCTCTGTATTATTGGGTATATGTTCATTGCTTCTTTTGAAAGCAAATGTGGGTCAAGTCAGATTTACTTGGATATGCATTAATTTCCTGTTGAGGCCTGACCTGTTTGTTCTTTGTTTTTAATAAATTTCCGTACATAATCATTTAAAAAGTATCATATACAGTTGATTCCACTATCTTCTTGTAGCACTTCCCGCCACATAATAGTGTAATGCAGGCGAAATATATGATTTTGTTGGGATTACAATAGTAGTAAGACCTGGATAATGTTGCTCCTCTATTTCATGTCAGAAGTAATGGAGACCAGATATATGGAGAGAGGTGAAATATAAAAGAGTGGATCAAGTTTAAGAATATAACAAAATATATATTCATAAGATTAATTGTTTTTGTTAGTTAGATTGTGTGACATTGATACACCAGCTCCATTGAATATTCTTGATGAAGAAGTTATGTTAATGTCTCATCTTTCCCAAAGATGACACGGAGAAAAGGATAAAGGGGTTCTTGTTTTCAGAACTGACCATGAAAATACACAACAGATTATATTGATAAAATCTTTGCTCGTTATATATTGAATTTGAATCATTTTTTCTTTTCACAATTGGTTCAGTACAAAAGCAATTTAGACTGAATTTCATTTATCTAATTTACAATCATAGGTTTCCACCTTCCATCTTTGTTCAATTATGTCTTGTCTGGACAATTTCATGCACACCACAAGAAATTTTGCCACATAGTTTTGTTTTCTATGATGTAAAATACATTGTTCATGATAGATTTCACTGCTTGTGTGTTCAGGTTCTTTTCTAATCTTTTTGAAATTAATCCTTAAATTTTGAACTTATGATTATTATCATGTTTGAATCTTATCTGTATTTCATCATGATCATAGCCATTAGATAAAACTGTTCAGACTCCCAGACTCCTTAGTATTTAGTTTACAAGCTGAGCAAGTGACACATATATAATAGGAAGTTTTTGTTGTGATTTCTGTTTCACAGATTGAACCAAAATTTGCTTTCCTCTAATAAGGCAGCATAAATCATGAATTGGTTAAGGAAAGTGACAGAGAAGACGATTAAATTCACCAGACTAATTAACGATTAAATTCTGTCCATTTATTATGTGCCAAATTCCATTCTCAAACTGAATGCCTGTGGCACTATATTATTATCACCTGACCAATGGATCAGTCTGCACTCAAATTTCATTCTCAGCTCCCTAGGGATAATACAAACCAAGCTGCAGTGTATATCAAATCATACCTCCACCATTGAAGTATGAATATAATGAGCCTTTTGCAAAACATGATTTGGGTGACAGGCCGTAAAAACATTGAATACTAAGAACGTAGAACCATAGGCTGACAAACCACTGAGTGTCAGAACTATTAAAGGGGGACTTTGCTCCGCAGTCTGTTCCCATCCCCAGACCAGGTCTAGATGTTGTACTAGTGCCATTGTGTAAAACTGAAACATTGTTGATTTTTGGTCATTGTTAAATGTTACATACTATTTCATAAAGTGTGTGGTGATTTGAATTGAACTGGGACTTCCGATTGACAGAGCATAGTCCCTCTTTAAGTTTAATTGGTCCTTCTGCCTGTTCATCCCTGCCTTGGGACAGATGAAGGAAAGTTCGCACAGGAGGCTGGGTGGGTAGCCGATCCTTTGGCTGTTGTCCAGTGCTGGTGTCCACGCGTAATCTTCAGTGTTATACAGTGCTTACGAATAAACCTTGATCTGTTTTTCATATGCGTTAATGTTGTGATTTCCAGTCCTCTTTTCTTAATATCGTCACAATATGACTGAAATATTGCCGATGTGACGTAAAGCATAAACTCACTCACTCACTTTTCTTAATAGACCGCCTCCGTGGCCTACTGGTAGAGCGTCCACCTGGAGAGTGGAAGGTTGGGGGTTTAATCCCCAGAGGCATCACACCAAAAGATGGTAAAAGATTGTACTTGTTGTTGCCTTGCCTGGAGCTTGGTATTAAGGGGCTAAAACAAAGACTGGCCGGCTCGGAGTCAGTATACTGTGTGTCTGAGTGGGATATTCATGTTAAACCAAGGCATGGTATCTCAGTGGGCTAGCACTAAAAATCGGCATTAGAAATTAGACATTCACAGTAAACGAGGGAGTGAGTCAATTCAAACAGTAAACCTTCGTGAAAAGCAACTTTGTGGACTTCCAAACTCACAAATGTTATGCCACTCCCATCTGAAAAAGAAGCAGTTGTGTACATTTGGAATGACTGAAGCCAGAATTACACAAAACCTTGCTAGGAATTCTGGTGTTCATAGTAACGCCATACTGTCACTCTGGGGTCTGTACCAACTGACTGGCAACACAAGTGACCAACCACGAGTAACATCACATCGATGACATAATCATATCTATCTGGTTCACCTGCGAAATTGATTATGAGAGCATAACGTACAACAATGACGTCAAGCTGTAGGTCCAATTTTGCTGCCACGCCATCGAAATCGAAGTCTGGCATGGTCAAGGCAGCATCTGAGGTTCAAGTTGGTCCACTTCACAGATGAGATCAGGTTTCAGCTCTTGTGTTAAATGTTCTGCATTCGGGTGTGGGAGCGTAATTGTGTTGGGACACATCACTGCACATCACAAGACCACTCTTGTGGTCATTGATGGCAATTTGAGAGGTGTACGGTACCATCACCAAGTTATCCATCCTCCCATTCCTTCATACAGCCCTTAACAGCAGGACAATGCATGCCCTCACGTTTCAAGTGTGGCCACAGATCTGTTGCCCATCCAACATGTGTGGGATGAAACGATCATTTACGTTGACTTCTGAATCATCGTTAGTCCGAATGTGACAGGCATTGGTCCAGATCTGGAATAACATCCCACAACCCCCCACAACCATCTTGTGTCAATGAGGCAAATAAAAGGTGACTGCTTGTCACAAGAGGCGACTTACGGGATCGGGTGGTCCGGCCTCGCTGACTTGGTTGATGCATGTCATTGTATCCCAACTGCGTGGATCGATGCTCATGATGTCAATCACTGGATTGTTTGGTCCAGACTCGATTATTTATGGACCGCGGTCATATAGCTGGTATATGGCTGAGTGCGGTGTTAAACAACAAACAAACAAATCATTTGACAAACTTGAGTCACTGTTAATGGTTTTCATACCTGATACTGACTTGTGAACTGACAATTGACCCCACGCAACTTTCAGAGATGACGTTTACAGAGGACATGTGTTGACACTGTCGTGATGAATTCATGTTTCATGGACATCATTTTGACATCAATATCTTTCTTTGAGTATATTACTTATTTCCCAAGTTCTTATTTCTGCTATTATGTATATTTTTACTGAGTGTGATGTTTTGCCAACCGCCCGTCTGTCAGCCATCTGTTTCCTTCCTGGAGCAGAAATCTAAAACAGTTAAGAACTTAGTGTTGAAACTTGCTATATAGATCAGTCTAGTTGGGAACTGTTTTTTTTTTATGATTTGGATTTTTTTAGTGCTTTTTTTTATTGACTGAAACACTGAAACTGAGGGTAGTGCTTGTTTCCAGAGCAGAACTCCAAAACTTTTAAATATTTCTGGATGAAACTTGCTATACATATCAGTCTAGTGGTGAACTGGTGCCTTTTGATGATTTGGGATTTTGAAAAATACTGACCAGCATAAATTCTTTCTTCACTGAACTGAATGTATCCATCCAATGGCAGTGAACCAGAAGTAGCCAAACTCCATTTCTGAATTGCACCAGACTGGGGGGAGATATATTTGGTGTAGACCAACTCCATGGTGTTATGGATAGAGCGTCTGCCCAGAGAGGGGAAGGTTGGTGGTTCCATCCCCTGACAACCTTCATGGTGTAGTGGATAGAGCGTCTGCCCAGAGAGGGGAAGGTTGGTGGTTCCATCACCTGACAACCTCCATGGTATAGTGGATAGAGCGTCTGCCCAGAGAGGGGAAGGTTGGTGGTTCCATCTCCTGACAACCTCCATGGTGTAGCGGATAGAGCGTCTGCCCAGAGAGGGGAAGGTTGGTGGTTCCATCCCCTGACAACCTCCATGGTGTAGCGGATAGAGCGTCTGCCCAGAGAGGGGAAGGATGGTGGTTCCATCCCCTGACAACCTCCATGGTGTAGCGGATAGAGCGTCTGCCCAGAGAGGGGAAGGTTGGTGGTTCCATCCCCTGACAACCTCCATGGTGTAGCGGATAGAGCGTCTGCCCAGAGAGGGGAAGGTTGGTGGTTCCATCCCGACAACCTCCATGGTGTAGTGGATAGAGTGTCTGCCCTGAGAGGGGAAGGTTGGTGGTTCCATCCCCTGACAACCTCCATGGTGTAGTGGATAGAATGTCTGCCCAGAGAGGGAACGGTTGGTGGTTCCATCCCCTCACAACCTCCATGGTGTAGTGGATAGAGCGTCTGCCCAGTGAGGGGAAGGTTGGTGGTTCCATCCCCTGGCTGTGTCACACTAAAAGCCTTTAATAGATGGTACTTGTTACCCTGCCTGGCGTTTGGCATAAAGGGGATAAAACAAGGACTGGTTGGCTCATAGTCCGTATACTATGTCTGAGTGGGGTATAACTGGTATTAGGGATATTCGGGGGTTTATCTCTCAAAACAGATTTATCCCTTCAAATTCTTTTGAAAAAGAAAATAAATTGCCCGCCCAAAATGTGATGTTGTTGCAAGGTGTTTTTCTTTTTTTTATATCAGGATCGTAGTTTTAATTTTAAAAATATATAGTATTGTAACTGTAGTACAAAATCCCAGCCATCCACATGATGTCAGACCCTATTTCAACACCATCACAATCCACATGAGTCTAACATGTCACATATCAAGAATGATTATGTATGCAGGCAGCTGTGACAGATGGAATATAGATGACTGTGGCAAACAAAATTCACATACACAGTTATGGGTCGCTTTAATATCACACACACAGCTTTAGCTCACTTTAATATCACATACACAGCATTAGGTCACTTTAATATCACACATACACAGATTTAGCTCACTTTAATATCACACATACACAGATTTAGCTCACTTTAATATCACACATACACAGATTTAGCTCACTTTAATATCACATACTCAGCTTTTGGTCACTTTTAATATCACACATACACAGATTTAGCCCACTTTAATATCACATACACAGCATTAGGTCACTTTAATATCACACATACTCAGCATTAGGTCACTTTAATATCACACATACACATAATTAGCTCACTTTAATATCACACATACACAGATTTAGCTCACTTTAATATCACACATACACAGATTTAGATCACTTTAATATCACATACACAGCTTTAGCTCACTCTAATATCACATACACAGCTTTATCTCACTTTAATATCACACATACACATAATTAGCTCACTTTAATATCACACATACACAGATTTAGCTCACTTTAATATCACGCATACAGAGATTGAGCTCACTTTAATATCACATACTCAACTATTAGTCACGTTAATATCATACATACACAGCTTTAGCTCACTTTAATATCATACAAACACTGTTACACAGCTTTTGGTCACTTTAATATCACATACACAGCTTTTGGTCACTCTAATATCACATACACATCTTTTGGTCACTTTAATGTCACATATACACAGATTTAGCTCACTTTAATATCACACATACACACCTGTGGGTCAGTCATTGCAATTATACAGCTTTAGATTACCCATCACACACACAGCCTTTGGTCACTTGTCACACAAACATCGCTTTGGGTCCCCCATTACACACAACCCATGAATCTCAGGCCCTTTTTCATGTCTGGCATAGACATTTCAGAAACACTGGCCAAAAGACCTTACTGAAAGTCATGTGGCCCTTGATCATGGCTGGCATAAACATCTCAGAAAACACTGGCCAAAGGACCTTACTGAAAGTCATGTGGCCCTTGATCATGTCTGGCATAAACACCTCAGAAACCACTGGCCAAAGGACCTTACTGAAAGTCATGAGGTCCTTGATCATGTCTGGCATAAACATCTCAGAAACCACTGGCCAAAGGACCTTACTGAAAGTCATGAGGTCCTTGATCATGTCTGGCATAAACATCTCAGAAACCACTGGCCAAAGGACCTTACTGAAAGTCATGAGGTCCTTGATCATGTCTGGCATAGACATTTCAGAAACACTGGCCAAAGGACCTTACTGAAAGTCATGTGGCCCTTGATCATGTCTGGCATAAACATCTCAGAAACCACTGGCCAAAGGACCTTAATGAAAGTCATGAGGTCCTTGATCATGTCTGGCATAGACATTTCAGAAACACTGGCCAAAGGACCTTACTGAAAGTCATGAGGTCCTTGATCATGTCTGGCATAGACATTTCAGAAACACTGGCCAAAGGACCTTACTGAAAGTCATGTGGCCCATTTTTATGTCTGGCATAAACATTTCAGAAACACTGGCCTAAGGACCTTACTGAAAGTCATATGGCCCTTAATCATGGCTGGCATAAACACCTCAGAAACCACTGGCCAAAGGACCTTACTGAAAGTCAATCGTCCCTTTTTCATGTCTGGCAAAAACATTTCAGTAACCACTGGCCAAAGGACCTTACTGAAAGTCATGTGGCCCTTAATCATGGCTGGCATAAACACCTCAGAAACCACTGGCCAAAGGACCTTACTGAAAGTCAATCGTCCCTTTTTCATGTCTGGCATAAACATTTCAGTAACCACTGGCCAAAGGACCTTACTGAAAGTCATGTGGCCCTTTTTCATGTCTGGCATAAACATCTCAGAAACCACTGGCCTGATGACGCTGAACCTTGAAGGCCTCTTCCCACCAATGATGACACTCCGATTTGTTCAAGAGGTTTGAATCTGACCACATATTATCAAAATGACTGCTACAGGAACTATATTGAAAATTCTATTTAAGGCCATTTTTCAGCTATTTTTTATTCAAAATGTAATGAAAAATGGTATGATTGGTTCAGTCTAGTAGTGAGATGCATTTCATGTTTTTTTTGCCATATCATGAATTTTGACCTTGTGTCAAGCTTTGACTTTTCGCCATGTTCTTAAATTCTCTCAAAATGTATTTTTGCCCTGTAAACTTCCCTGAGATTGCCACGCAGGAAGCTGGAGTGTTGCTGTAGTTGACAAGGGAGGTTGGAGTAGCGTGTTTATCAAACAGTATAGACTGGCTGGCATATGTCTGGACTACTGTAAGCTAATTGATGAAATGTGGCAGGTCAGTGAACCATCCTGATCAGACTATTGACACTGAGTGACAGTGTAATTAAGAAAAAAGGATGCGGAGACTATTGATTTAATTATGCAACTGTTTCATTGACAAAGTGTGGCAGTAAATAGAAGAAATATTCCTCCTTACATTTTTGGTATCATTATCGTTTTGAGTTCCATTCATAGCTGATTCTTTGAAAAACGTCTTCCCTAGGTAAGGGAGTTAACAAGATGAAAGTCCAGTTTCCACCCTTGCCGAAATAGGCTGGAATTTTGTGGCTCAATCAGAGTTCCACCAGTGGCTATAATAAGTTATATCCCTTCCATGTCCCTCCTATTGACCAATCAGATTCAACCTCTCACATCTCTGCATTTGCCTCAAACAAAATGGTGGCACCCAGTCAAGATGATCTGATTGATACTAAAGATCTATATTGTAACAACAAGAGTCTTACTTTAAGTCTTAACTTTCCCTCTACTGACAATCCTTTTCAGTTTTGACCAGTGAAGATCTGGGGTAGAATAGGTCTTCAGCAACCCAAGCTTGCCGTAAAAGGCGATTATGCTTGTCATAAGAGGCAAATAACGGGATCGGGTGGTCAGGCTCACTGACTTGATTGATGCATGTCATCTATCCCAATTTCGTGGATCGATGCTCATGATATTAATCACTAGATTGTCTGGTCCAGACTCGATTATTTACAGACCGCCGTCAAATACCGTAGCTGTAATATTGCTGAGTGCGGCGTTAAACAACAAACCATCCAACCAACTTACCTTGCAAACTGCATCAAACCACTTTAGCACTTTGAATAAACACCTAAAAAGACGTAGAAAATATCTGTCGACGGCTATTTGGCTGTTCACATGCTTTGTAATTTGGAAATAAAATTTGGGAACTTTCACAAACATTTCATATTACTAAGGGCTGAACATCAGTCTCTAAGACTGGCTGGATAAATCAGCACCAGTCAAATGCACTGTTTTTCTCACCAAAAGGTGTTATCAAAATTGATATTTTTCGAGTGATGTAGGTCTGCTAAGAAATATTGCAAAGCGAGTCAGTCCTGCAACTTTCACATCCTGAATTTAGTTTGCTCTTGACAAGCACAGGATTCTGTGGATTCAGCAAAATCACATAAGTTGGTGAAGAAGGGTTCTTTACATTCGGTGTATAAGATAAAAAAACCCAAACAATTACAACATACCAAGTTCTATTTTCAATGAATGCTTTATTTTTGCTTTAAGTATAATACAACAAATTGATGTTCATTGTGAAAATGTGAAATGTTAGAGCACATTTGATGCAGATCCCTATCCATCGCCACACCCTTAGCCAAGCATATCAGATAGACTGAACTCACTCTTTCACACTTCCGCTACAACAAGACAATGGCCTCCACTTCTTGTACAGTTTCAGGTGACTTACACAACATTGCTGACTCCTTAAGCTAAAGAACATGGCCCAATTAAAATAACTTATCTTCTTACATGAAAAGAGCCTTGCTTATGAAACTTGTCGTCCATACTTCACAGGTTTCTCTATCACCTGTGGTTACATAATGTAAAGTAAGTTGTAAAGTAGTTGCTATTTTTAACTAAGGAATCACGACAGGGCCTGGGAAACCAGAACGTCCTCAGACCAGTGAATGCCCAGATTACATCGAACATACAGCCATACTTCTCGTTCACCATGTGCCATAGCCTTGCGGTCATATGCTCTTTCAATGCTCTTGTATCAGGCAACTGTAGGCTTTACGTGCCACTACCACAACACAAAGCAGTTTACATATTCACAGGTGATGGAGGTACGTAGAGTTCACAAACCTGTGAAGTAGTGCACACTATTCATAAACTGAAATGTCACTAACTAATAGGGATGTCACGATTCACCAATGCACTGATAATATTCTCAGCTGTTATGATACACGATGCATACTCACATGGATCATATTTTAATCCTGTATTGTTTTCACACAAGGAAAATTTAAAGCAGCATCACAATCACTGAAACGTGAGTATTGAAGCTCTTTTTGTTTGAGCAACTTCTGCTATTTCAAGCCTTCTTACTAGTGTTTATGCCATCTGAAATGTAAAATTCACGCAACACTGCCGTAAATTAAGTATTGCGATATGTATCGTGACATCCCTACTAACTGCTAAGGCTGGGACAATTTTGGTCATTGCAACATGCAGGTTTTATTTGCTCGGTATTATAGCCTTTGTTCCTCCTACCACTCTTGTCAGCTGTAACAAATGTGTGAAGAATGGATCATCTGGCCAGAGTATGGGAATGCGAATTTATTTAATAAACATCTGTTTATTTCTTCTGCTTCTTCTTTTCTGCTTCTTCCTCTTTTTCCTTCTCAATCTCTGTTATATACTTCTCTATTTCCTCAGAATCTAGCATCTGAAAAGAGTTCAACAAATATGAGGCCAACATTTCAAGCTACACTTTGTAAGAATGCATTTTACTGAAACCTTCCTGCCATATGGGTAAGGAAAGTGCACAAGCTCTTTCTTTCGTAAGTCTCAACGTTCGTCAGCTATCATTCACCCTTGAAGATCTGTTTTGGAATAGGTCTTCAGCAACCCATGCTTGCTGTAAAAAGGGTCTATGCTTGTCGTAAGAGGCTACTATTGGATCGGGTGGTCAGGCTCCCTGACTTGGTTGATGCAGGTCATCGTATCCCAATTGCATAGATCGATGCTCATGATGTCAATCACTGGATAGTCTGGTCCAGACTTGATCATTTACAGACCACTGTCACATAGCTTGAATATTGCCGAGTGGGGTGTTACAACAAACAAACAAACAAACAAACAAACAAACAAACAGCTGTCATTCATAGCCACTGCAGATTGGAATTCTAAGACTACAGTCTTGGTGTTACTATTTAAAAGTTCAATGGTAGGGCTACTCGCATTAATTTCATGAATTTTAGACCAGGGGTTGACACTCACAATAATTTGGTGACTCATTAATTTCATAATTTACAGTATTCATTTCCTCGTCTGTTTCTGACTGTCACATTTACGGCTGAAACTAGATAAAAAATGGTCAGTGTGGTTGTACCTTGAGTGGTTGGCCCCGCCTCATGACTGCCACCTCCATGTTCTTGCCACCTGACTGAACCACCTCCAACAGAGCCTTGAGTGTCAACTTGATACATTCATCTTCATTTTGTGTCAGCTCGTCTGTGTAGTGTTTCTCGAGGAATTCTCTCACGGTTTTAGCACTCCTTCCAATTGTGTTGGCCTGGAATCAAGAAAAATGAGAATGACTGAATATTCATTAATGTTTCACTCAGCAATATAACAAGACCATAAAAGGTAAGGTTAGGTGGAATAGGGTTTAATGTCACTTTCAAGATTATTGCACTTATATAGCGACGTGTGTGTGTGCCGGCGTGCGTGCCTGCATGTGTTTCACTCTCTCCCTCTCTCACCTTGTACTGGGACTTATGCCGATTTTACAGTCCTAGCCCACTGAGATAACATTTGGCGACAATGTGGATCCCGGGAAATTGCCCTGCTCAGACCTTTATGTTCAGGCAGTCGATCAACCAGAGGAAGAAGTTGAGGGTCAGTAACAATGTGGACGTCGACTTGGAGGAGCCAATCTTGTTGATGTACCAGACGACTGAGAGATTGTCTGACTGGATCATGAGCAGTAAAGCATGAAGGATCTCGGGCCTGTATAACACCACTTTTTTTAATTTTCTAGTTGTTGATGTGGAGATGCATTAGTCTGCAGATCGACGCCCAATAGATCTAATAAGTGCGCTCTCGATCGTTGGTCAAGTATTATAAAGTCAAAGCTGTATCTTCAAGATCGAGGCTGATTATATATAATTCTCTGATTGAATGATCATACGAAGAAGGGTGATTGGGACCAGGCGGGTGATTAGATCAGGAACACATGCCAAATCAAAGTGACTATATACACCAACTCCCGATCTTCAATTGAGGCAATGACAAAGGGAGGTTCGTATGTGTAAATGACTTAACGAGCAGCCATCGAAAAATATGACTATAAATGCACCTCACGGCTCGCATTAGATTCATCTGTTCCAATTCCAGCATAATCGGTTTTGTTTACAAAAGCAGAGAAATCTTGGCGCGTGGTATGTTAATCACCCTTGTGCAGGGCCAGGAAATACTGCAGTATTGCCGAACACATGGTCAAAAAGCTCCACACACACAAAACCCATCACATGACAATCCAGCTTGAACTGTATGGTAGACGCATGAAGCGGTGATGCGAGTTCCGAAGAATAATCGAGTAGAGGCAGTCAGATGCTTGTAGAATGCCTGACGTGACAAGTGCATCAGCAAGATAATCTTCGGGATATCTGTTGCATGTAAATAAGTCAGAAAATGACTAAATCGTCAAATCTCTGTCGATCGCATTGGGAACAATTTGGCCCACGATCCAGTCGATCTTCATTCCCTTGATAATGTCCATTTCGAGTGGGGTAATATTCCAGATCTTGAACATTAATAAGATGGCAATTGTCTTGAGCAACAGGTTGAACTGACACTAATGATAGAGTCCGGTGTTTCCATGAAGTAGGTGAGGGAGGGCGGTGCCAGTCTAGACAGTCAGAACATCTCCAAACCGTCATAATTTTTCTGATGCAGGCGAAGAGTAGGAGAGTGGGTAGCAATATTCCAACAATTTCAATGGCAATGCAATAAATAATACAGATAGATATAATCTTCATTATAGAATCTGCTAGTACATACCTTCCATTCATGATATGTTCCTGATGGATCTGTCTGGTAAAGATGGGCAGTCCCATCATAGTCAAAGCCAATAATCAGTGCTGACAAACCAAATGGTCTTCTGCCATTGCTCTGTGTATATTTCTGCAAAAATAACACAATGACGTTGACAATTTAACAGTCATAACGAAAGAAATTTCGATCATAGCTAAGTTTTTTTTCAAACACAGTAAGTTCGAGATAAAGTTTTCAGTATGTCAAACATTTGGTCTGCAAAGTTCTTCTGGTTTGATTGTTTGTTGTTTAACATGACACTCAGCAAGATTCCAGCTATATCACTTCGGCCTGTAAATAACATAATCTGGACAGGAAAAACCAAAGACTTACATGAACAACGTCCCACATCATTGGGGTACAATGACACACACAATCAACCAAGTCACTAAACATGACCACCGATCCATTTAGTCTGTTAACAAGCCTAGGTTGTTGGGGACATATTCTAGAATGGAATCCTGTCTGACAAGAGGGGGAAACTTGCCTGTTTCAGTTGTGCAATATGCCGTGTGATGTATTCACATGTGACTGGGTCCTCTACTGTCAGCTTGTGACTCTGACACTCGATCCTTGCACGATTGATCAGTATCCTTGCATCTGCTGTGAGACCTGCGGAAGGGAAACACGTAACCAGGTCATAATTTGCAGGTTGAGGGATTAGCATACATATGTTTATCTACAATGTCGCAATAAGCAGTGACTCGGATAACAAGGCCATAGAAAGAGGACTAAGACCACCGGTCAGTACGTGTGAACTGCTTGTGAGAGACAATGAATGTGTTAATTGGCTCTTATTCTGGGGATAATCTCCAATTATCCCAATCAACATCATGAGTGATTGAATGTTTGAAATGTATAATGAATGACTGTATGGGGATTATTGAAGTGCTCAAAATGTTTGTATTTGTGAAAATAGTGCTATGAATACATAATGATTGCTATGAAAGTGTCTATAAGAGTGTAGTGAATTAAAAGTGCCCAAACTGTAAACTGGTATACATGGTATATATATGTGAAGTTAGGGATGTGCCTGACTTGTTACAATTGCAACAAATATGAAATGAAATGGCTATGAATCCTCCAAATGTGTGTACAGGCAATCCAAATTTGTGTACTTGTCATCCAAATGAAGTATGAATGCTCCAAATCAGGTTTGAATCAGAGAGGAATTTTCGCTATGAGTTAGCCATTTTCTGAGGTTAAGAATCTCAATGGGTACAGATGAAGCTAGTAGACTCAAAAGTTTTTCGCACAGACTGCATGTTTTGGGAAATTAGTGAATATTGAATTAATATCAAAGTTATACCTTTGTTTCAAGCAAGATGACAGGCGACTGCGCCCTATGCAAACCAAGAGGCAATCTCATGTTGAGTATCAACCAACCTGCAAATGCCAGTGCGACATGATCATCCAACAATGCTATCTTTCTCACTGTCCGTTCCTCCTGTAATTTTGCAACCGCTTTCTTCTCAACACCAAGAACAACGATGTTCTTACCCCGAACACCAACCTGAAAACACACAATTTTGCTGTGAAAACGGTTGTTAAATGTTATGCTTAAGTAAGTCCAAAACCATATATGAATGATTCCGTCAGTTGAAAACAATATGAAAAAAAATGCGATCGTGATAATCATTATGATTTGTCATCGCCTTCTCATTGCGCTTTATGAACACATACGCCTAAAATAACAATTTCACGACAAAAACAGCAAAACATAAAGAAAAATACCGCTGTAGAGCCCTTCTTTACTGCTTCTTGGGCATATTCTACTTGAAACAAATGTCCATCGGGTGAGAAAACGGTAATGGCTCTATCGTATCTCGACGACATGCTTAGTTTTTCAGTTTTGCTGTTTCACAGGAAGTAGGTGAATTTCAGCTCGCACTGAATATTTTTTTTTTCTAAAACAAATGTGCTTTTATTTTTCTGCATATTCATCCTGCATATTGTACGCATTTTTAAAAATTCTGAATTATTAACATTTATTTTGTCTTATAGAAACATTATATATTTATGCATGCTTCCATCCAATTAGGTCTCGATCAAATTTGACTGCAGACGAACGAGTGCGCGGACTGGAGAGACAGGCCTTTGTCTCTCGCTCTCCCACATCACATTTTGCCGATATTATCATTCGGTTTGGGACTTCGCAGTGATCAACTACCAAGATGTCACTCGCGTTCGTGCCACCCCAACAGAAGCAAAAAGGGCAACCTCCAAATCAAACCACGATTCAGAAAGTAAGTTATCGATCAAATATGGTTGCCTCGGGTTTGCAAGAGGAATGTGGGTTTCTGCAAACATACGGCAACGAAGAACCCATCCTTTGTTCAACAGAGATTCTTAGATCGTGGCTGTCATCGGTCTCTACTTGCCATAAACTCCTTGCTATACTTTCATATAAATCAGGAATAATGCATTATTATGTCAGATGACCGGATCTCCCCTTGGGTCGACATTATTTGATTAGGCAAATGTCCAATACGAACTGTGTACATAGTCACGCCGTTGATAGTAGACCGTTGTAAGGTCAGCTCGCCAGCCGACCTCATTCATACAGATTGAGGGAATTGACAAGGGAACCTAATATTTGTAGTGCATGAGACCGAAGCTTTGTTTTCAGACTGACCTGTGCACCGATTGCCTTGAGTTGGTCAACAAGACACAAAACCCTGTTTCTTTTGAACACAACGACTGATAAATATGGTGTTTCATAGCTCATACAAACATTGGGAAAAAACATATTATATGTACTTGTGATCCAACTCCAAGTACCAATCTCTAATGATTTTTTTCTCTTCCATTGCAGATGTTGGATGAAAACAATCAACTAATACAGACAATAATTGATTATCAAAACAGTGGGAAAGCTCAAGAATGTATGCAGTAAGTTATCTTTTCCTAGTGTAACCGACTAAGTGTTGAACGCTGAGGACAGGCATGATTTTTTGCTGGTGAAAGGGAACTTGACCTGACCATGATGACAATTAATCACTGCCCTGTTTTGTGCACAAGAGGTGGTGGGGGTAGCCTTATGGTTAAAGTGTTCGCCTGTCACACCCCCCCAAAAACCCAGGTTTCGATTTTGCACCTGGGTACAATGTGTGTAGACCATTTCTGGCGTTCCCTGTCGTGATATTGATGGAATATTGCTAAATGCAGCATAAATCCACACTTACTCTCTAAAGAATTTTTGGGGCACTGGTGGCCCAGTAGTCTAAGGCGCTGCAATTTGCTGTGCATTGTTGCATCCCTTGGGCACGCCAGAAACCTATGATTGTGGGTTCGAGTCCCGGTTCGCCCCAATTATGTTTCTAGGTTGTCAGCACCATACCCATGCTCGTGGGTTTCACCGAAGTGGTAAACGTCCGAGACCTGCATCACTTTGGACTTTCCTCCAATATTAAGCCGACATGCCACGATATATCCGTAATACTGTTAAAAGCGGCGTTAAACCCAACTCACTCACTCTACAGAACTGTTAGAGAAGGTTCTCATGTCTGCAGTATTCTTGCTTGCATACTACAATACATAATTGTCACATTTTTTAATTTTCTCATGAGTGGGTGAAAGTTTAAAGCCACAGTCAGAATTCTTGTTACTTGGGACCTGTTATGTTTTTCGCCCAGGTCAGGCCTCAAAGTTATCCGGAGCTCTGTTGCTCATTTGTTAACAAGGTCACCCATTAATCTCTTCCCCCCACTCCTCAATGTTTTCTAGCTTGAGACATTGATGTTGTAATATGAACATCCCTAACAATAGGATTGAGATAAGACATTTGTGGTAGTGTGGTTGGTACTGAATATACAATTACCAGTCAATTGAAATTTCAGTAAACAGTGTGTGAGGGTATTGTATCAATTTGTTAATGCACCGTTGGTAGCATTATCACTGAAATAGTTGTGTAACGGTATAGTGATACATTGTTGTATTGTGTTACGAGACATATGTACATCAATTTATTGACCCTGCATCTCGATACATACAATACATTTCATGGGAAGTTATGTTGGTGTACAAACTTGGGAATAAGAAGAGAAACTGTTCAACCTCCAGCTTATGCAGATTCTGTAGAATTTCATAATTGGACATAAAAAGCACAACATTCACAGTGCCCTTTAGCCAATATATTTCTGCCCTACAGTAACTGATCTCTGAAATTTGTTACCAAGTGTTTTAGGGGCGTGATTCACTTGCAAAAAAGAATGAATATCAACTTGTGAAGTAAAACAACTATATTGGGATACCTCTTATCGCACCCCTAGTATCGGGATACGTATCGTATTGCGACCCCACTGTATCGTTACTTCTGTACTCTGAAAATGACAAAGATATCTTTAAAGCAACATGGCCGTGATTGTTGCTCTTAAGATCTATCGACTGAAATAATGAGTATGCCAACAAAGTCCAGGGAACAAGGACTGCTTTGCTAAGATTATCATTCAGATGTTAAGAAGAAGGAAATACGAAAGGAAGCACATGTTTGATTGTCTTGATATGAGTTGCCATATACCCGGTACATGTACTCCAAAGATATGTTAAGAATGTTGGGCAATTCAAGAATTGAGAGTACAACAATGAGATTTTTCATATGAATCTTTATAACAAAAACACAGCATTAGACATTCATCAGAAATAAGGGGTATAAATTAGCTTGAGCCCAGACCAGTTTTGTTATTGTTCAAAATAATATGTTTCAACTAGCCCTTAAGATACCTTTTTTATCCTAAGGGCTAGTAGAAACATTTTTTTTTTTTTTTTTTATGTAATAGTAATACCTTCCGAAGTTACCAAGACTTGACAATGAATATTTCTGTTTCAGATACCAACAGATACTGCACCGGAACTTGGTCTATTTGGCTACAATTGCAGATGCTAATCAGAATGTGCACGCATTGCTGCCAGTGAGTGCTTGTTGTCCTTTTAGGGAGACATAAAGGATACAGTGAAACCTTTTTAGTCTGGACCCTGTTAATACAGAAATTCTAATTTTCGGACGATTCTGTTATGAACATCTGAGTAGGGTATCCATGTTATCTCAGTGGGCTGGCACTATGAAACTGGTATTAAGCACAATAAAATGGACATTAGTCCAGATTAGTACAATCAGCCACACATACACATGCATACATGTTACTATATAAGTGAAATATTCTTTAACGTGACGTTAAGCCTCACCAGTTCCCCCGACATGCTCAACCCTCCCTATTTGTCTTGTTTCCTACGTTCATTTAGTTTGGGATTATGACTGAGTAAACATCCAACTATACGTATAACCGCCCACCCCTGTTACCCATTTTTCGGACTACAAGATACTGTATTCGACGTAATAAGCGCCCAGTGCGCTCTCAAAATTAGAAATAGGGGGCTCTTATTTGAATATAATTTTGGTGAAAGTGTTGAGAGATTGTAAATTTCGTGCTTTATGCTGACAGCCTGAAATGATACAAAAGAAAAGTCTGTGCTTATTACACACGACAGATATATTTTTCCAGAATTTAATTGCCCGTAATTAGGGGCATATGACACACAAGTGCGTATTATACACGAATAAATAAGTCCTGTGTGCATTGATCAATCGAAAGGGTGCTAATTGGGATTGTTTACTAGCCAATATATTAGCAAATATCGCTGTGGGCGCTTATTAGAGCGGGGCGCTTGTTACGTCGAATACGGCATTCATAAGGAAATATATTTGCTTTTAATTCCATGGAAAGACACCAGATTAAATGATTTACCATATTTGCTGTATTGAACGCTCTGTTCCTATAAGGGCCCCTGACCAACTTCTAGACCAGTCTCTATGTACTCTTTATGAGTGCCTCCTACTAACACCAAAATTGTACATGCTAGTCTATATTTTATTGGGTGTATTATAGTTGTTTTCCCAGAAAAGAGCAGCTCAGAATGGGGTATATTACTGTTTTTAGAAGGTTTTAGATTCACTGGCGTTTGAAGTTTCTTTATTACTTCTGATAGATGGCTACAATTTTAGCTAGTTGTGTGTGGTGTTTATAAGTGGCCTTCTTTGATATTCATGGATGAGAATCTTGAACACAAATTTGTTAAATTTTGATAACCTCCTATAAACACCCCCAAATTATGGACCGCGCTCCATTGAAAAGACATTTCAGCGTAAAAGGAAAATATCTATTCTCATCCCTAGATATTTTATGATTATTACAGGGAACACAATATAAATAATGACGTGTGAACCACAAACACCTTCAGTGTGAGCAGCTTGTGTGTGATGTGTCAGTGGTATATTTATGAGTTATCAATATGTTGCAGGTTATATGAGGTTTTGTGTGCCCACCTTTTCATTAGAATTACTTAAATTATGTGTTGTGTTTATAAAATTAGCAAGATTACAGCGACAAGTAGTGTTTATAACATTAAAAGTGTCATATCTCCATCATTTCATGTATAGTTTTGATCATGTTGATATGGAATGGTGAACCTCGCTAATTTTGCAGGCCCCTGGTCAGGGAAGTCAGGCCCCTGGCTCCATGCCTCAGCCGACCCCCCAGATGACGCAGATGAGGGCCCCGGGGAATATGCCCAACCCCATGACACAAGGTAAAGAGCTCTGTCGTGTTTGAATAAGACCAGCCATTCATGGGCTGAAACAAAGTCTGTTGTAGAAATTCTTCAAGTTGTACACACATGCTTGTACAATTGTTATGTGTAAAGCAGACCCTGGAATAGACTCCTTAGGTCATACCCCACTAGTTGTAGCTCATTTCACACAAGTGGTTTGTGTATTAAAAAACAGATTTTGGAAGAAAACAACTGGTCCCTCTAGAATTGCACCAGCTTCAACTAAAAGAAAGAATGGCTTTTGCTGTCCCCATGAGGCCCATTTCGGTGTTCCCCTAGTGTTAACTAGAATATTACAAAAGATGGAGTAACATCTTCCTCATTGATGTGTCTTATTTTAGCCGGTTCAATGCAAGGCGGTAACCAGATGAGCCAGGCAGGGCCAGGCATGCCCCCAGTCAGCAGTCAGGCCGGCTTCTCTGCTCCTATGGGAAATTCCCAGCAATCTGGTGGCACCTCCGGATTCCCCCGGCCTCAGATGGGTCCGCAACAATCAGCTCAGCAGCAAGCCAAGGGCAACATGTTGCCTCAAGGTAATGACCATTAGCTAGGGCTGTGTATTGGCAAAACAATTGTATTGCAATATATTGCGATATAGGTATCTGTATTGCAATATCAGGGGTAGAAACTAACATATTTAGTCCACTAGTCCTTATAATGATAACATTTAGCAAAACCCTTAAAAATGGCAAATTTCTACTAGTCCTTATGATACCTTAACTATTGGGCAGTTTGGCAAGGACTACAGGACTAGCGCCAATTTCTAACGCTGGATATACTAGGAGCTAAAGTGTTTGACTGTGATTGACACTGATTGTCTGCAGATCCTATAGCAACCAGTCAGCATGGTCAGTCACTGCCATTTTGTAGCCATGAATGCAGGGGAGATAACAAAGTGATAGTGAAATTGCTTCTGCATATCTGCTTTTTTGGTAATCAATTTTGAAGGGAAACATACTTTGTGAATGAATTTCTGTGTCTATGTTAGGTTAAACAATGCAAATAATAACGAAACTTGTTATATCTTTTTACCCATTATACCCGAACATAGAAAAAAATATTGCAGTGCATTTCGTTTGAAAAGCATACTTTCTAACACATTTGAACTAATCGATCCTGATGTAAATCAAGACGCCTGTTATGAGAGAAGAACCTTGAGAAGGGCAGTTATTCCATTATTCCAAGAAGGAGTAATAATGTCTAAGCACTTTGTGCATCTTTATGCAAGGAGTACAGCCCCATATAAATGGATGATTATTATTATTATTGTTATTAATGTAAAGTTGACCCTTTTTTTTCAAGGTCAGGGGATGACTAATCAGAATGGGAGCATGGGCAACCAGACGTACACACTGCCTCCCCAGCAACAGCAACAACCTCCTGGTGGCTACCCCAGTCAGCAACAGCCCATGATGTCCCAGCAACAGCCCATGATGTCTCAACCTCAGCCGATGATGACGCAGCCTCAGCCTATGATGTCCCAGCAACAACCGATGATGTCCCAACAACAGCCGATGATGTCCCAGGGACAACAGCCGCTGATGTCACAGAGCAGCAGCAGCCAGATGATGATGAACAACCAGAGTGGGATTCAGAGTAATTCCATTATGGGCGGACCAAGGGGCCAGATGCCTCCATCATCCTACCGGCGGTCTCCGCAAGGTGATTATCAACTTCACATTAAGCCGACAGTGCATCCTCAACTATTTATCATGTCCTTTTTGTGTCTGCTATTGAATAGTTCATAGATCTAGCTGCCCGTTGAATCAGTATTTATACTTTGATGACTGCAAATGCCTTGCATCAAATTACTTCGGTATTATGACTACTGTAGTTTGCATGGTCAGTGACAATGCCCTCCTTACGTAGTGTACCCTAGGCTCATATAGATTCAGATTTAGAGGATGCACTGTATAGGGCTGTTTGCATTCATGGTTTGTGAAATTTTCTTGTCTGGTAGCATGGCAGTTTGTTTGTTTTGATGTTTGTTTGTTTGGTGTTCATTGAGGTTGAAGACATGGATCAAAAGGGTCAAGTTATGGCTTATTTACGGTTGCACTTTTCAGAATGCTAAGTATTCGGGGGAAATGTTATTTATAAATGTTTGATCTCGTTTCGGGGGATTTTTTATTTCCAATTCCACTCGAAGGAACTCTGTCATGGTTGAACCACTTTTCATATTACTTCTTTCAATTAATCAGGTTGAGGGTTTACCTGTAGATACATAACTTTAACCTACTCTTAACCATGCCAGGATATTGCTAATCATTAATGTTGGTGGGTTATCGCAGCTAACATAGTAACCAAAACGATCATTGTAACAAGAAAGTGGGCAATGCAGACAGTGTTCTTTTGAAAATGTTTCAGCATGTTTTCTAGTTTCAGTTTCCAACACTAACTCCTCCCCCCCAGTTAGACGAGACTCTCGTGGCCATTTTCTTAGCCCGGAGGACGAGCATGACGAGTGTCCCACCTGTCTGACTTGCACACAGTCAAACACTTGTGACATCTGTCGCGGTTGGTCCCCCGAGCGTTGGGAGGACATGCGGGGCCGCCAAGAGCAGTCTCGTCGGCGCAGGGAAAGGAAAGCGGCTGATAAGGCCTCTCGTAGCAATACTACCAAAGAACCCAGCAGTGGGGGCACCACAGCCAAGAGTTCCAGTAACCCTACTACCACTACTACCACTACCAATGGCGAATCTGCTGTGCCGGTAGCCGTGACTAAGTCATCCAGTGAGCGTGTGGAACGTGTGGCCACATGGACCCAACCCATAGCCCCCTGTCCTCCTCCCATCCAGTCACAGCCAGTGTTTACTGTCGGGCAAGTGTTTTCTTTGTCCACGAGGCCTGCCCAGTCTCACTAAGGCAGACTTGAACTGCTCTCTTACTGCTCACTGCAACTGAGCATGCCGACCAAAGAACATGGGACCTCGCCGATTTCTATTAATCCTTTTCCAACAAGACTAATCATGCTTGGGACATGACTGTCTGATTCTGGTGTATTTGTTCTCTAAAGAGCTAACTAATCATCTCTGCCCTAACTGTACTAAGCGTCGGTCAGTCAGTCAGATAGCTGGCGGGCTGGCATGTAGTGGCGGACTTCCCCTCCCTCCAACGCTGGTGCAGTTTGGGTCTGTGTTAGTCTGACTGAGGCATGCTCATCTGGCAACAAGATAGTTCTAGACAAAGTAGATTCAGTGGAAACCTGAGATCGCCATGTCCACTCACAGAGCAGAGATTCTGCATCTGAGTTTTATCCATGTTAAATGCTCCTTTACTCACAGTGTTCGAAATTAATCAAATTAAATTCAAAGGGCACTTGTCATAACCCTGTTTATGAGGCAAAACTTTGGATCCCCTTAGTTTCGAACACTGACTTGTAACTCAAATATACACCCCCATCCTAAATATCTTTTAAACCCATTCATCAACCGGGCATAGGGTTAAAATACGTACTTGGTTCTCAGGCATTGATTATCTGCAATAAACTAAAGAATTCAATTTCTGGTTTAGAAAAAACAACGACTAATTTTCTTACTGAACGTTAAGCTTCTGTTATCCCTTTTTCAAAGTCATTGCCTGAGTCCCAGTGGAATATACATAGTTTACAACCAGGATAAAACTCGGACCATGGATCGCAACCATTAATTTGAAACTGATCAGGATTTGGGTGAGACAAAGGTATTCTCAGGTTTTGTTGTAGCTTACAAATTACGAAAAACTGTTTGACAAAGATTTCAAGGTTCCAGTGTTTGTATTGGTAGTATGTGTTGATTGACCACATCATGTTGTACAAAACTGCTTTTCTTTCAGAATCCATCTCATTCAGTTGAAAAGGTGTTGATCATTCACTGAACCAAACTGTCAAAACATCCCTAAAGTCTATTTGAATGTCCTTTAATCTTGTTATCAGATGATGCTGTTTTAGACATGCTAACATTTTGTACCTTTCTATTCACTGGTCATGCTGGTTGTCCTCTGTTCTTTGAAATTACAGAATCTCTAAAGCAAGGTATTGTATTTCAGATAATAATGTTCAGTGGGAAATGCAGATGGGTATGCTACAAATTCTGAATTCCTTCTTAAAATTGAGGGCTATTTTGTATTAACAGAATTAATACCAGATGTATTCTATTAACGATCATGCATCACATTCTCTTGTCTTACAATCACTTCACATTAGTATTCTTTCCAGTGGTGGTACTCTCACAATAGAAAAGCGTTTGTATCAAATGAGCTGATGTAAATTGACCATTTCCCACCTTGTACCAAAATTTCCAATTTGGTTCCTCCCCTACTCTGTGTCTGTGAGAAACCTGCATGATTTTATTCATTTTCTGTGTGACATTATTCTACATCTACAAGATGCCCATTGTATGCATAGCCATGAATTAGTATCTATTTGTGAATGAATAATCTTGGAAACAGTCCAGATTTTTGGTTTTTGTGTGTTGAACTCTCAACCCGTGTAGACCCTTTTGATCCTGGTGTCTGACAATATTGATATTCCTTTTGAGTTGACTTTTCTCTGTATATATTTCTGATTGAGTGTTGAATGTACTCGTGAATGGCTGACCAGTCTTTCCTCTCTGGTCCGCCTTGGTGTTGTGTCCTGAAGTCAGATTCTAGTCTATGGTCATACTGGGACAGCTTTTCTTCTCTCCCCTGTATTCATGGTGTTGTGCAAAGTGCAGTTTGGTTCAGGTTCATTATCCCAGATAACCATGGTAACAGTTCATTGTGTCAGTGTACATTAATATGGTTACATTGGTATAATGTAGACAATTAAAAACTCTGGCTATGAATATGAAAATTTGGCATTGGTTGGTGGCCGTTTTTTTCATTGTATGAAAAATATGCCAACCTGGTGTTAAATTTTTAATTTATTTTTTTTGGTTGGTAAAAAAAAAAGACTGTCTTCGTGGGGATATTTTCCTGTTAGTACTGCATGAATTCAAACAGAATTGCATTTTTTTGAAGACATAGCACAAATGATATATTTCAGGATCATTGTCTAAATGAGGAAAATATAACTTGGCTATTTCCATGGTGCACATCATTATTACACAGCAAGGTAGGATTATCCTTAGTAACAGAAAAAGGGGGTCCTGAGTGGCCCAGTCATCTACTTCTCTGTGCAGAGTTGCATCACAGAGGTGTGCCATAACCTATGAGCATGGGTTTGAATCCTAATTTCTCCCAATCATTTTTGTTTGTTTCTCAGTACAGGACCCATGTGTGATGGTTTCATCAAATCTGTAAACGTCTGAGGCCTGCATAAGCTGGTCCTTTCCTCTCACATCCAGATGTCACACCATGATAGAACTGAAATACTGTTCTACTCGTCATTTAACTTTACCTTTAACACATAATTAGTTTTTGGAACTAAAATACTGTTCTACCCGTCCTTAAACTTTACTTTAAACACATAATTACAGTTGTGAAGAAATGAATTTTTAAACTTTTAATCATTCATTTATTCAGCAGATAACTTATTGTGTGGCTTTGAATATGAAAACTTTACAGGTAATAAGGTCTTGTAAAAATATATCGCCACACTTGCCATAAATAGTCAAGGGCCCACAACCCAACAACACACTATTTCGTAACATCTGTTTGGTAAATTGGTACTATATTTAAACTGCTGATGTGGTAGTCTAATGCTTATTCATTGCAATGACAGACCAATCAGAATGCAGGGTTCTACCATGTCATGGTAGACTCTAAAATGGAATGGCATGGGAAGATGAATGTACTTTTGAGTATCTGAGTTCATTATGAACTCTGCCATTGCACCATTTCTGCTTGTATTTTTGAAAAAAGGAACACATTCAAGATACTTACTGTGGCCTTGAGTCTCGGTGAATGTGAGTAACAACAGGGGTTGATTTAAGTGCTGGCCCATTGGCCCATGGCCAGTTAAAGTTACAAAGGGCTTGCTGAAATGTAAAGTAGATGACCCATCTGGCTAGTCAGAACTTCACCCCTTCACTGTGTATGTTTAATTGTATTTATGGGACACTGCTTGTGAATCATGTAATTTCAATGGGAAAATCTGTAGGAGGGATGAGGTCATGTGTATGGTTAACTTAAAGAAAGATACATGTTGATCATCTTGGTAGAATGACAACTGGCCGCCATTTTTTTATGTTGTGTGCAACAACACTTTAATCCCAGTGCAGGAAGAGGTGTTTTGGGGGTGAGAGTTCTTAACTTTCCAGAGCCCCGCAAGGTGGCTACAAGACCTCAGGTTCCACCATTTAGTTGTAGGCCAACTAGTTTGGAGAAGGGACAGTAATTTTAAAGTAACAAGCCTCGCTGGATATATACATATTTGTTGTTAAATCTACCTCTGAAACAAATTCAAAAATTGAACATGAAATTTCTGAATTCATGCTATCATTGTTATGACTGATACAATGACTGCAGGGTTGACGTGTATTTGATTTATGACAGGAACAATACAGAAGGGTTTTTACAAAGCCATGTTAAAATACCTGTGGTGGCACAGTCGTCTTTAGGCGCCAGAACTCACAGTGCACAGTTGTTTGTGGGTTCGAATCGCGGTTTGCCCTGATACAAGTTTGTCAGTGCAATACCTGTGCTCATAGGCTTTACCAAAATAGTAAACCTTACCTGCATCACTTCAGGCTATCCTCCCGCATAATACTGACATGTGATACTGAAAAACTGTCAGAGTGGCTTTAAATCAAACCCAACTCACTGTGAAAGGTTTCATGTACAAATGTAATCAGAAATCAACTGAATGATTCTTCAGATTCTCTGAATGGCCCTAACCTTTGCAGTCAAGTGTCAAGAATGAACACTAGAGCTCATGAAAGCAAAATAAGGTACCCCTGTCACATACTCTCAAGGCAACCCACGACCTATAATCAGGGGTGAGAACTCTGCTGAATTCTGCTGATTTCATTACATCAAGGGTCACCATTGCAATACATGCTATTACAATGTACTCATCGTCATATAGTTTTTTCTAACATTCGCATCCCTGTGTAATTAGTGACAGGTCCCATAAATAGCATGGAGTTTTAAGTTAGGAAACAACTTCTGTGAATAAAATGTCAATTAATTTGACAAATAATAACTACAATTTCAGTAGTAGGTCAAATTAGTGCTGACAACAGTGAAGATATCACGAGAATGGCAGTTCTATTTGGTTTGTTTTTAAAAATTTGATTCACAGCCTGAGGGTTTATCATTTTTTTAATGTTGACATTTAATCATTGTGGGTTGTTGCAGACTGTCTTGACATGTTGTGGTTGCTTATTCAAACCTTGTTATGCTGATGTTAGTAGCGCTGTTGAGGATGTATATTTCCTACTATGCCTGTATTGATTAGTTGTAGATTTTATGCTCTTATCGTCATTGACATGTACATGTCTTGTTCATTTCATCCCAGCTGGACATGTTTGCAGTAAATCTTATCCAAAGATGTTCCCTTGAATGTTGAATTAATCTACAACTAATTAATGCAGTAATTTTTTTTCTGAATGGTGTGTTTAATATTTCATGAGTTGATCATTTTATTTCAGTTTCATAAAGAGCCTTGGATGATCTTTTTTTTCAGAATATTTTATTCAATGAAAATGTTTCATAATAATTCTTACATGTGTGATAATATTTTCTACTCACAGATATCAGCACCACATGACTTTAAGTATGTCTTATGTTGTATCTCTCTTCTTTCACAGGCCAGCAGTACAGCCAGCCACCGGGCCAGGGGGGTTACCCCCAACAACCGTTCAGTGGTCAGCAGCCTTACTCCCAGCCCCAGGGACAACAATCCTTCCCTCAACAGCCAGGCTACTCCCAGGCCCCCAACATGCCCCCACAGGGACAATATGCCAACTACCAGGGTCAGGGACCACCCCAGCAGCGTTATAATCCTTTCAACAGACCCCAGGGTAACATGGCCCCCAACTCTCCAATGCAGGGGAGCCCAATGAATAGCCAGATGAGTGGGCAGATGTCCTCCCAGGGCCAGGGGATGGGGGGTCAGATACAGTCCATGCCCCCTCAGGGACAAATGAGTGGAAATATGCCTCAAGGGCAAATGCAAGGTGGACCTATGCCGGGTCAAATGCCGCCAAATCAGGGTCAAGGAAGCTATGGTTACAACCAAAACCAGTACTGAAGTATGAACCTGATTTGCTTACATGTTAAAACAATCATTAGTCGAGGTGTAACAAGCAAAGGTTAACTGGTCAATGATTAAGGATGAAGATGAAAGCATAGTGTTCATCTGTTCGGTTGTAATAGCAGTATGGTCCTTGGAAACTCCAGTGACGGCATTGAATTACAACTGCTTGGGTATCAGTGTAATAAGTTGATCTGTATCCCGGTCATTTTTGCAAAGCTTCCTTGAAAAAAAAAATAACAACGAATTGGTGTCGTGTTCTCTACTTGTGTCTTAATTCTACTGTTTTCATGGAGGAAATAGACTCCCTTGTCTACAGAGTGTCCACTTGTTAAGGATAGGATTCTGGCGTAGAAGGAATGATTTTCTTGAAAATTTGAGAGCAGTCATGGAGGCTATAGTTGGTATGTTTGTAATATAAGGTGTTTGATATCTCGACAACAAGACTTGGATAACATTGTGGTTCCATTAACTGATTTTTATGAGTGAGAAGAGTGTAGACAACATATGTTTGCACTACACTTTAATAAGTATAATCTCAGGGTTAGCCCATAAGAATGATCTGCTACAGAGTTGCCATCTACCTAAAATTAAAAGTGCTTAAAAGAATTTTTTCTTTTTTTCTAAATTCAGACACAATAAATGTGGAGCCCTGAGTCTTCAGGTATAAGACAAAGAAGCAGTTTTCTTGTATAGCCTGTTCGTTAGTGTTTCACTATCTATTTGATTCTTGCATTATTCAATGAGGACAATTATTAATGAAAGATCTTGTTGATTTTGATTTGGTAGTTGAAAAACAATAATGAAATTTGTCGACTAATGTTAGACATGGGTTAGACATCCAATTAAAGAGAACTTAGAAGCTCTCTTGCTTGCAGAAAGGGTTTCTATGTTTATTGAACAGCTATTGAAACTTAACTGACAAATAATTTCTTTAAAAAAAAATTGCATTTCTGACGGTTATGTTTTGTCGAAAGTGTTTACACATTTGAACCTCAAAACAATGTTTGATGATGTTTAAAACCAAATACAAGTCAGGGATTGGGAACCACAATGCTTCTTTAGGGCCAGAATGAACTTTGATCACACCGATACATCGCTGCCGGATTCTAACAAGATCTGAAAGTTATTAGCAATCTCATGTAAAACATGCAGGAAACCTGGCCTTGCAACCACTATTGTCAGTGCAAACCTCTTGCCATGTAGAGAAATGTATAATTTGTAATCAGTGCAATAATCACTAGAAAAAGTAGTCTAACGAATCATTCGTAATCAACTTAAATTTGTAATTTCTGCCCTTGGTGGTAGATGTAGACTTTAGAAACTTAGCCATCGGCTTAAGTATAAATGGTTAAGGTGATGGACAAACCTGTTTTTCAGTATTTCTTTACTATTGTGGGAAGGAACTTGTACATAGTCCTGTAATCTCGATCATAATCAAGATTAGGTGATTGGCTGGATGGTGCTCAATGTTAGATTATGATAGCATTATTTTGGTGATTCAAGGTAATGTTCTCACGGAGATTTTATTTTCAAACTGTTAACATTTGTGAATCAACGTAAGCAGATTTAGTTCTCCTGAGCATAACTGTTTTTATATATATACAGTATTGTTGACGTACATGTTACTGTTTTTACATCTCTTTTACCTTGAGTTGTTTCCCTCGGATCTCGTCACAGTTTCTTCACTCTTGATCACGGTTGGATCTCGTGGTTGGTCATGGATGACATCAAGTTCTGCTTATGTTATTGGCGTTGGTTTGATGAGAATTGTAAGCACTGGTTTTTAAGATGGGTTTGATGGACAAGTCTGCAATCAGGTTTATACTTCATGTATTCAGGAAATGCCGAATGTACACATCTGCGCCTAGTTTCCAAATCAGCCACACTTTTTTTTTTTATATTTTTCATGGGTCTGCCTTACAAAAGGAAATGGTTAAGAAATAGTAATAAATCTGTTGTGAAGCCTGATTATAGGTTCTATGTTACTCTTGGGAATGGCTGTATGTTATTAAAGGGATGTAACTCTAGCAATCCTTTAGAGGAAGGGACAGTTTACAGGTACAGCACTTTCTGGATCAACAAGGGTTAACTATGAGGAAAACATCACAAAATGTTCTTCCAGGATGTGATTATTTTAAACTCTACAAGTGTATAATGGTTTTACCCAAATGCTATATATATCGTTTTGTTTTTAGGTGGAAAATAATGTGGCATTATTTGGCATTGTGGTCCCTTTGAAAATAGTGTCAACCTTGCATTGCCCTGGAGGAAAGATGAGAATTATTTATTACTTCAAGGGTTGTATGTACAGGACATTTTACTTAACTTGCTTTTGAGAATGACTTAATAAATGTTGAGCAATTCCAGAACAATGTGATATCATTTATGGATGTTGCTATGGTTACATGAGGTATATATGCTGGTCAGTGCTTGGGGTGTTGGAATTTTTAACAAACCATTGTGATTTTCATCAGTCTAGAAAAACCAATCTGTACATATATTTTGTCAATGCCAAAGCCAGTACTGTGAACATAACAGTGTGCCTGTCTGTTTATTTTGTCTTTCTTGTCTTGTTTTTCTTGAATCCTCCTCCATTAAGTGTCCCTGATCTATGTGACACCAGTCAAACCAGTCTTCAGGTATTAGGTAACACTTGGTGATGATTCTGCAACACGGTTGTGTAAGGTGTTAGGAGCCTAATGTACAGCTTTGAAACAAAGGTTATGACAGGGATTTTTCTAGATGTGCTCAAACGATGACAGTTAGCAGCATAGGTCAGTTCAAATTCCCAAATTAAACATTTCTAAATTTCTGTTTTGTAGTGATACTTCACTGATAACAGGGCCAATAAGGAGGAACATGTATTAATGCCTTGTTATGCATTATGGAATTCTTGTGAGTTAGAATAAAATACCTCAGATTTGAAGAAAATATTAACTAAATAACCATTTTTTTACTGTCATGGACAGTCTGGAATTCTGGATAAATCCCTGACTTATCCTCTTAAAGCAATTCTAACACTATTTTCAAACACCATATCACTTGGCTGGCATTGTATTGTTAATGTGATGCCTGAAAAGACTTACCATAATCGCCATAATAAGTGCCCTGGATGCTAATATTGAGAAAGAGGGGTGCGTATTAAAACCACCACAACAATTTAAATAAGTTTTCAGAGATTGATCAGTATAGTTGCATTGATATTGAGTCGCATTGATATTGTGTCGCATTTTTGGCAAGGGGTCAGCAGTCGTATTAATTTGGAGACGCATTAATTTCCAGATTTACAGTACCTGCAATATGCTTTGCGGTATGCTGCTATTTTCTGAAAAAGAACTGTTACACACAAGAACTGTCAGGTAAATTTTAGGTCTTAAGGGACACTTATAAAGAATATTTATAGACAGGTCCAGAAGTTGGTTAGATGGGGGTTGTTGGAGTAGGGCACTTAGTATGGCGAATACCGGAACAGTTTGAGAAGATTCCACTAGGCAGTTATGCAAGGTATTAGCATACTAATGAACAGCTCTGAAACAAGGATGATAATCGTCTTTATAGCCATGCCTAGATTATGATCAATTTTAATATTACTTCACTATCCTTGTATCGTGAAGGTGATGTCTGAGGTGTTTTGAATTGTCAAGTGAGGCCCCTAAAACAAATATCTTGGAAATGGTGGAGAGAGCGAAGTGTTATTCCTGTGGAGACAAATTTCATGAGTTTGATGTGGATGACTTGGAAGATGTTTCAGTGCTCATGATTAACTTTGTCTCCACAGGAATTGTCATCTCAAATCTATTTCACTGAAAGCCATGTTGCTTTCAAAATATTATTACTGATTATTTTAAGTTTTTATTGATAACAAGTTAAGTTGTTATCCATGGAAAGTAGAATATATTCATGTTCTACCAACTTCTAAATGCCTATCAAAGACTTTTTGGTCTCTTAAAGAACTGGTTACTTTTTTATCCTTTTTTTGTAATCATGGAAAATGTTTTCATTATTGTACATTCCGAAACAATTTTGATGTTGTAGACATGTATAAATTATTGTCAGTATCCTTTGAAGCTATGATCGACTCCACTTAATTGCACACGTTATTGAATATTTTTGTAATTGCATACTTGTCTACACACTGAATGGTGGGTGTTATAACATTTATATAATATCTGATTCATAACTGAATAAATGATAATAGTAATAATAGAATTAAGAATCATACATATAATGTTATGGTAAGTTAAATCTATATGAAAGAATTACATGTTCCTGATATTTCTTTTCATAAACGTATACCTGATTTTAGTCTTTTGGGGATTGTCAATCTTTTCATATTTAGGTAATTTGGTAGTATCATGACATTATTTAATCATTTTCTCCATTGATATTAATTATAAGTTTAACTAAATTCTAATTTTATCCAGATTTAAAAACTGTCAGTTGTATATGTTTTAGTGGGTTTACAGATTTTGATAGTGAAAACTTTGGTTGTAGATTGAAATAAATGAATAAATATAATGCATTGCACAGGATGTTTTTTGTCTCAAAATTTGATTGGGGGCAGTAGGTGATAAAAATGTTTTGGCCTTTTTTTTGGTTTTTATAAATGTAATAAATCTAAAGTAGGACTTGTAATGACACATATATTGTTTTTCTGTTTTGGTCATATAAAATTCCCTTGAATTTTTGGTTTTGTCAAAGTGATCTTTACCGTTGGTGATACATTTAAAAAAAGCATTCTGATTTTATGTTTTTCCTGTAGTTTTTATTTTGAAAGTCGGCTGATCTGTAAACCAAGCTGAATACATGTACAATAAGGCCATACAACTTTCATAGGGATCGTTACTTGACTACGCAATTCTGACAAGAGGAATTGACCCAAGACTTTCTTAGGGTCATTACAGAATTGCTGTTTCTAGAAGTTTTTAATTTCTTTTTACTGATTTCATAACAATGAGAACGTCTAGCCTAAAAGAACTGTTTGGAAGTAAAAAATGTCTCTTTTTCACTGGAGTGTATTCAATTTTCTGTGTCTGTTCAGGAGATTATCTGCGTTGAACATTCAAGAATGGGAACTTCAGTGTATGTGTTGTGTAATGTTTTGACACATGATGATATGGATATCGTAGAAGATAGTGATCAGCAATCTGTGTTGTGAAATAAGCATATGTTCATTCCAACAAGCAAATACACAATACTAAATAAGGGTAAGCAGCTTAATAAGAAGTCTTTCGACAGTGATTATGGTAATTCAATCAATATCAACTTGCTAATAAATGTCCATAAAGTATTTTCAGTGTCCATCAACTTCAGCAATATTTTCAGTATTATGACATTGATTCAATATGTATGCATGCACTGGTAGAACTGCTGGTGATGTTCATCATTTTGTCACCATGCAGGTGATAATAATAATTTGAAACACGTAACATTTCTACAAGTGAGGTGAAATGGGATTTCATGTTGTGTTCAAGATTATTTCACTTATATATCAACGTGTGTGTTTGTGGCTGCTTGTATTTGTCCAGGATTACACCAGTTTTATGGTGCTAGCCAACTGAGATACCTGCTGCAGTTTAACGTGGATACCATACTGACAATGTACCAACGCCGAGCCTACCATCCATTGTTTTTTTCCTCTTGATAATGAGCACCAGGCAGGGTAACAAGAAGTGCAATCTTTAAACATATTTTGGTATGAGGTGGCCAGGGAATAGAAACACCAACCTTCCGTTTCAGAATGAGGCTCTAGCCACTGGACCACAGAGTAAGTCAAACACTTCTAGCAGTGCATGCATATATATTATGCAAAGCTTTTCTGTTATCAGATATAATGATGTATTTGCTATTTTACATATCTTGTCAACACATTTTGCTTCAAATAAATTGTAAAAATGTATAACATTGGTTTTGTGCTATTTCATTTTGTAACTGGGTGTGAGTTTCAGAAAACACATGATTTATTATATGCTATTTAATATTCTTAAGTGAGTGTTGTTTAGGGTCACAGTCTGCGATATTCCAGCTACATCACAGGTTAACAACCACTGGTCATCCATGTGGTCGGTACAATGGCTCGTCAGCCATGGCTAGGTTTTGTGTGTTGTTTTACGCAATACTCGCAATATTCCAGCCATAGGGAGGCAGTCTGTAAATAATCAAGTCTGGAACGGACAATCCTGTGATTGACATTATGAGTATTGTTCTACACAACTGGGATACAATGACATGCATCAACCAAGTCCGAGAACCTGACCATCCGATGCTGTCAGTCGCAAGTCGCCTCTTATGACAAGCATATAGACCAGTGGCCATTCTTCAAAAGTCCTTTAGAAATAGGAGCAACTCCAGCTGAAGGCTCAACTGTCTGATGAGTCTGAAAGCACAAGTCGAGTAGTTGCCTCTTACCGCAAGCATGGGTTACTGAAGACCTGTTATTCATCCGGATCTCCAGGGGTCCCTTGGCCTGGTTCCACAACCTCATGTTTGCACGACGATGTACTCCCACACATAAACATATGACAGTCGTAGCACAAACATCACTTAGTGGAACAGGTCATAGGGCCTGACCGACGCATTTCAATTTTATTCTCTTTGGAAAAACATGATGTATTTCTATCTGTTCTGAACCTGAATAGCACAGTGGTGTTGACTGAGAATAATATTGCTCTATGAACGGCGTAACTTATTTATTTGTTTATTGTTTAACGCAGCATTCAGCAATATTCCAGCTATATAACGGCGATCTGTAAACAATCATAAGCACCGATCCACGCAATTGGGATACGATGACATGCATCAGCGAAGTCCGCGACTCCCCGATCCCGTTAGTCGCCTTTTAGTGCAAGCATGGGTTGCTGAAGACCTATTCTTATAGTCTAGGCAATCTAGGCCATTTTTGCACTCAACATGGAACAAATTGCATCAGAACTTATTTCATCGCAATGCATTTCTAAAAGGTCCCCAAAACAACATCCTAAAAGTCCCACGCAATCCCAGTTTGGGAAATATATCTAATTTGCGTAATCCAATATGGCCACCAATTATCAATATATCTTCCATATTTCAGATGAGGTTCAATGTTTTCATGAAAATGCATGTGTTATTTTCGGAACAACCATATTATGTTTCTAAAAAGATATTTACAACTACTGAACGTTTTCGACAATTGACAAATCTACAAAAATTCAAGTTGGACGACAGGTTTTCTAAATGGGTGTTTACACTGTTGAATCTTTTAACTCTAAAACAGTGTGCTAGGACTTATATGCATATAACCTGGCCCACTAACTCACTTAAGTATAGTTAACACTTTTAAATAGAAACTCTGTTACCAAGATGGCCGCCAAGGGTTTGATGGCTAGAATATCAATACACTGTTGGTCTCTGATGATATATTTGAACTTCTACATTGGGGTAAACATACCCAAGGATGCATGTAGAATACTCAATCAGTTGCATAATTTCAAGATTCATAAGCACAGTTATCTAAGTGAAGTGATAATGCGTCCAGTCGTTTGAGTTCATGGTACCCTTAGCTTGGCCAGTGAAAAGCTGTCACGTCACCCCAGGCCCTTATGGGAAGGTCCTTTCATCTTATCCAGAGCGGTATAACACTTATCCCCCCCTGTCTCATACAAACTTTGTCTACATTAAATATAATGTGAGGATTGTTATCAGCGATGCAGCTGCCTATAGACACAATAGGAACATTAATTATTTTTTTACTACATGTTTTTGTAGCGGGATATCAGATTGTGAGAAGGATCGCCCCTATGTGTGCACAGAGACATTCCTGTGAGCATTGAGAGAGTCATCGAAGAGTTCGAAAAAGAGATGCCTTGGCGAAATTTGAGATGAATATAAACAATGGAGTATTGTCGTATCATGGATGATCTTGTTCTGAATATCGAATGAAGACTCGTCAAGTCGTAACTTCCCCAAACAGGAAAACTCTTCTGTGACTTTCCCATCATCTCTTCGACCTATCCAAATAATTAGGCACCAAACTTACCTAATTTTAGCATAAGTCATTAATAATTTTAGCATTTCTGTTTCTGAACATCTGAATTGTTGTAACCAGATTCTTTGTTTGGACTTCACTTGCTGGAGATGACCCCAAAAGAACAAACGGCTTTCTTAATGCAGTAAACAAATACTTAACAATCATTCTGGAAGCAAGCTGAAAAGTAGGAGCTCAGCGACTTTTCCGTCCTTAGCTTGTAGTGTCGCCATAACTGTCCTCCCCGACTAATTGTTTTACTACACCCCACAACATAACACAACACAAAATATAGGTTTTTGTCACCACAACTTCCTATAATACGCAAACACAAAATAAAGGTTTCCTACTTTGTCACCACAATTCCTATAAAACGACAACATAAAATATAGGTTTTCTATTTTGTCACCAAAACTCCCTATAACACTAAAGATAAATATTCCTATCCATAAGATTTTCTGTATTTCTATTGCGGGCGTAAAAATGTCGGCAAACTATTGTCATATATATAACTCATAATACACCTACCTCTGGCGAGGAACAGCATATACACGATGTGTTGATGAAACACAATCACCGTCCTTGGAACGAAGGGCTATCAAGGGTCAAAGACATAGTGTCGCTTGGCACTGACAACGTCCTGTATGAAGACTTAATGTCAAACAAATGTAAACTGCACGGCATGTTAACCTTGTTAAAGGAACCCATCGAGCGACACTCACAGACTGGAATACCCAAAACAACATGCGACCGAAATACGTCACAATGAATTGATTTCTACAGTGTTATAACCATGAGATAGAAATAGCAAGATAATATAATATAATTTGAGGATTAAGAAGCGGAATGAGAGCTTGATGGCTACCGTTGATGCGTTCCACGTGTCAAATCACATTTACATAATCTTATTTTAATGTTTTTATTAACTGTCATAACATAGTGATTTCCAATACACATGAAGTAACGTGGTATATTCCATTACATGCAATTAAATTACAACTTCATCATACAGAATCAATAGACATGATTTTTTTGTTTTGCATTTGGTGGGTAGTTTAAATTGAGTTCGCCACGTGAATGTTTACTCTAATTTAACCTACTTGTTCTCCATTCTAACTATCTTTGATTTTTAAATGTTCCCATTTACGTAACATGCAAATGTTTTCATTGGGTCTAAACTTGTTAGTTCCAGCGGGAAAAAAACCAAACATACTCTTCTTGGTGTTAATGTATATCAATATGTAGCGTCTGTTCATTGTATACATGTACCTGGTGCTACGAGGTCACAACTTCAAACACTTGACGATGGTTATGTTCTAACGATAAACAATTCTTGTCTAAGCTGTTATTATTTTTCGCTCCAATATAGATGAAACTGTTGAACTATTAATTGATTTTTCAGTGCAAAAATATTTAAAAAACCCACTAAATTCAGAAGGTTTCTTTGGGCTTGCCCACCATGAACCATTGCGTTTGTCATATGTATTTATTGTTTTTATAAATGATTAATTTTCTCTAATTGACAAAGTACAGGTGTTTTCTAAATATTCAAAGGCCCATTCCAATTACTGAAGGTACCATGAATTTCACGTTGCCATAGCAGCTTGGATTTATGTTGGATTATGTTTTTATTGGCTTATATGTCTTGTGAATATATCATTCCTATTTATGTATTCAATGATCTTAAAATGTGTTTATAGCAACGTTAAAGCTTCTGTGAAGCTTAACTGTTTATATTTTACAGATTTGTTTGACACCTCACGTGGTGTTAGACACAGAAACATGTTTTCACCGTTACTGTTTTTAATGTACATAGATGAACAAGTAAATGAAATGAAGAGTGATGATACTCAATGTATCATCAGTGATTGTAATATTGATGAAATATATTTTCCTGATGACGTGTCAATACTTGCTGATCTGTTATAAATATGCAAAAAATAACTAGCTTAGAAAGATACTGCTAGCAATGGGGATTAACAGTACACATTAATAAGAGTAAAGTTAGGGTATTTAATAAGAAGGGACTATATCACAACATGAAAAATGGTTTCTTAATGGTGAACAGATTGAAGGGGTGTCATACTATACATATCTTGGTATTTTAATTTTACGTAGAAATATATTTGCTCAAGCTTGTGTTACTTCAGCTAAACAGGCAAACAAATCTGATGATGTTCAAATATCCAGATGTAAACGTTGATACATATTTTAAAATCTTGTATTGTAATATTTTCCCTATTATGCTATATTGTGATGAAATATGGTGTACAGAAATATTACAAAGGGTTGGGATTCCAAATACATTCTAAATAATGTAAATATACTTGCACTTGTATAATAGGATACAAATCTTCTGATGTATTACGTGAACTGGGAAGAACGAGAATGTAGTAACACAGTTTGTGGGATTAATTAAATATTGGATTAAGCTATTAAGAATGCCACTGGGTAAATATCCAAAGCATTGTTATTTCTAGCTGTGTAAATATCATGAATTAGGTTATAAATAATGGGTTCGTTTCATTTGTGAGATTTATTTTATATTGTTTAGTTATGGATTTGATAATGTGTGGTTGATGCAAGATGCAAAATGTTTATGCAAGAATGGTTATGGATACAAGACACTTTTTGTTGATGGATGACAAAGTAGAAACAATTTATGGATAACAACTTCTTCAATACTGTAAAGGCGACGTTTCGGTATAGATCCTTATACCGGTGTCAAGCAAGACTGAATGGGGAACATTGTACAGAATATATATATACACAGTAAAAAAAGTGTTGCACCCCCACATTAATACGTTTGATACATCACAACATTTAAAACGCCCGACTCTGGTTTTAATGGTAGGTATTCCTTGGGGATCTGATGTTAAATGTGTAATGTTTTCGGA